CAAACATCTTTTATTAATCCTTGAAAATTTATCAGCTATGAAGTTAACTGACGATTGTCGTGCGACATTGGCAAATATGTACCGTAAAAAGGCACTCGATACATTTATTCGGGGCTTGAATGGCAAACTATCGGGACTTCTTAGTGTAAGAGAGCCTAAAAACCTTGCACAAGCTCTACATTTATGCTTAAAATTAAGCAATCCTTCCCAGAAAGGGGTAACCAATCACATATATTCTACGTACCGCAATTCAGGAAGGGTGGCACAAGGAACATCATCATATTTTCCAAGGAAAAATAATTTTATACGCAAAAGAAAGCAACCTCAGGGTAATTTTAGTCCTCGAAACTTTGGTTGGCAGAGAAACTCTTGTGGGTACTATAGATTTCATTATGATAGGCACCACAACTATGATCATTCTCAATTCTACAAGAGCAATAGAGCATACGAGTACAACAATACTTTCAGACACAACAACAACAACAATTATAACAGTTATGACGAAAACTACCCAGATCATCAATTTAAGAAAGAAAACGATTACCGCCATGATATGCCACAGCATTAAAATAAAATTCAGAAGCCTCAACGGCAGAAAATCACACCAAAAGAAAGCAAAGAAACTTTTTTATTTACAGCCACAACAAATGTGCTCTCAAGAATAATGTTTTTTAAACTATTCTCTTTATTAATTTTTATAATTTTCATTATTTTATAATTTTTTTTAATTTTAGACTAGAGGTTGCAACATTAAATAAAGTTTTTGTTCAAAAATATTAAAACTGAATTTTTTTTTTGTAGCAACAGGTTTAGAAAATTGCAAAAGATTATTTTAGCTTAAAAAATTGGCTTTATTCTGAGAACCATAAACTGATGATGCGATATCCATAATAAAAACTCCAAATTCATTGGGCAAGCCGTTAAAACCTGTGGAGTATAGGAATTATAAATTTATTTTGGAAGTAAAACAATAAATTTTTTTTTGTTTAATATTTTTTATTGAATTTTTATAAATAATTTTTAATTTATATACATTAATATATATATATATATATATATATATATATATACATATATCTAACTGCGTGCAAAATAATAGCAGTACCCAAAAATTTTTCAAGCTAAATTTTTCAATTCTTATGAAGCTATTGTTATAAGACTAAAATATTTTAAGTTTTTTTTTGTTATGTTGAAACGAAATTAGTAGTATTTATTAAAACAAAAATTTATACTACTAAACATATTCTGTTTTTATTAAAACTGAAATTTTTCAACCCAGAATTACCATACAACTATTATTTTGCACGCTACTGTATACATATATATTTATTTATATATGTATATATAAATGTATCTCTATAAATCATATATATATAGATATATGTGTATGTATATATACAAATATCCTATTCTAATCGTATGGTAGATATTTTAATTTGTTTTTTTTTTGTTTCATCTGTTAAATCCGTTCATGGTCTCCTTTAATAATAAATTTAAATTTATTTTCTCCTGCGTTGCCGACTTCCGAGTTACATATGTTACAATTTTTGTTTTTTTATTATTTTCTAAATTCTAACTAAAAAAAATGATTACATTTTTCGTTTTTTTTCTCTTTTGTCAATAATTTACTGATCGTATAATTCAATATCGTATTTTTAATTTTATTTTTTTTTATTTTTTTGTATATTTGAAACACATAAAATCTCGTGTATCAATGAATTTAAAATAATTTTTTGCAGTAAATCGAATACATAACTGAAAATGTATATAATACCTTTGTTTAACAATTAATTTTTTTATTATATACATATTATGTATATACATATATCATAAATGAGTACAAAACATACACAAATAAATGCATATTTATATACCCTGGCAACGGATTTGCACGAATACTGTGTTACAACACAATTCAGCAATTTTTAGCTGAATTACGTTTTTATCTCGTATTATTGCAATTTTGAACTCAGTAATATATAAATAATTATAATCGTATTTTTCTTTTTTTATGCATTTGTTTAATTTTCTTTTCGTTTAATCCTAATTTATGATATTGTAAAAAAATAGTGTTGCTATATAAATACAGTATATAATATGATATTATACAACACCATTAACTTACATATATGCGAAGTAATGGCTGTGCTATATGTATATTGTAGAAAATCAAAAAATTTTTTTTTCTTTTTTATTTTTTTGGAAAATATGTTTATGGTAATTTTATTTTTTCAACTCAATGCTTATATTTGCAAACGCTATATCGGCATAATTTCAATTCCGTTACTGAAAAGAACCTGGTAATATTTTCGAAAAATTTTTTAAAATTTATTTTTTATTGCCGTATTATTCCCAAATTGTAATAATGCCGTATCGATACATAATTGGCATTCATATGCTGAATTCTGTATTAATTCAGTATTATTACAATTCCGGTCTCAGGGTATAATAAAAAGTTTAAACTTAAAATCACAAGTAAAATTTCGTATTACCGTATTACAAAAATTTACAAGTCAGGGGTATATCATATTCAAATAAAGGGCATCTAAATTTTTTTTTTCGAATGTTATGCGCATAGGGTTGAAATAAATCTTTTTACCATATATTTTTTTTGTGTTTTTACCTAATACAAAAATTTTGAAACAAGAACGATACCATATTATAAATTTTTATTTTTATACTCCTTTTTGTTTTTATTATTGTAATATAAAAATTATTTAATTATACATACATATCATTTATATTGCATATAAAAGAAACTTTTTATACAGCGGTTCAAAAATCAAATTTCTACAATATTCTGTTCAAATAGATTGAAGTGGCTTATCTGTTTCAAAAACATAAATAAATAAAAATTATTTTTTTAAGAAGAAGAGTAAAAAAAAATCAATTAATTTGATTTTCGAAAAGTTTTAAATTTATAAATATTTTCTATTATATGAAAAATATTATACTTATTGCATAATTTTTTTTATAATTTTTAGTGTAATTCTATACCTCGTTTTTCAAAATGCAGTAATACAATGTTAATACACAATTCACATTTATTAGCTGAATTATCTTTCAATACCGTGTAATTGCATTTTGTAAATCCAGGATAATTTTTGGGCATAAACAATTAATTGCCATTGACAACTGATTGAACACGTGTTAATAATATATAAATACATAATTCAGAAATTGTAAATCAACAATATTATGTTACTACGAAATCCAGCAATTACAAATTATCGGTTGTGTAAAATTACTGCAATTTGATTGTCAGAGTCAGTTAATTGCAATTATTGATAACATCGAACAACTTTTTGCTTATCTAAATACATTTAAAAAGCAGAAAAACTTAAAAAATAATATATGGTGCTTAAACCAATATGGAAGTAAATTGGATTAAATGAAAAATTTAAAAAATTATTTATAACCAAAAAAAAAACACAAAAACCATGCTTTCTTTTAAATAATAATTGTAAAACGAAGCAATATATTTTAATAAATAATCGGAATTTACCCCAACCTTTCTCTCTGATAGCAATTGGGAATACTAAGCATCTTTAAAGAAGCACACCGTTTAATACAATATCTTTCGCCGTTTCGTGTTATATTAGTGTCATTGCATGATTGTGATATGAAAGTTTTAAGACAGTTTTTTTTCTTTTTTGGAAATTTAGTTTTTTTTCCCTGTAAGGAAAGAGACCACAAATATTTAAACTCAATTAAATTGGATTTTTTTTTGTATAACACAAATTGTGGTTTCGTGATACTGATATATATATACGGATAAAGGGTGATCCGAAACTGATACTGAAACTCTCATGGGGTCATTCTTTGAAACTTCTTAGAATAAAATATCGTTCGCGTGACGGGTGAAAAGGACCCGGACACCTAAATTTAAATTCTGTCTGAATTGAATGGAAATTCTGTCTGATAAATATTCATAACAGCTTCGAAACTGAGTTCACCTCTAGGAAGTGGAATAAAAAAAAATTAATATTTATAATTTTTTTTTTGTTATTTTAAACAAATTTTTTATTATATATGTTAAGATAAATCCATTGAAATACGCATATATTTAAATTGCACATATACATATCTATAACTTTTATATTTATATATATTTATATATATATTTATATATATGCATACACTCACCATATGCAGCAGTAATTGATTTAAATAGTTTTTGGGGTTGATACATTCAATGACATTACAGTAAATTCATAAATTCAGGACTTGGAAATTTAATATCAATTTTTTTTTTGCATATAAGAAAAATTTGGAAGACGTTTAAAATTTAAGTTTTTGTCCACGTTTTTTATAATATTGTTTAAAAGCTCCCTGGTCAAAGTCGCAGACTGTATCAATTCGTAATTTTGATTACAAGATTAAATCATCTGGCTTTTTGGCTATCAGAAAATTTTAGTATGTGAAGATTGATAATAAATCTTTGCACACTAAATAAAATCTTACAAACCAAGAGCTATTGGACCTAATTCAAAACGAAGATTTGGTGAAATATGTGAAATGCAAAAGGTTGAGATGGTTGGGACGTCTCTACCGCATGGATTTCAAAAGAGGTCCAAAAAGAATATTCAAAGATAGGCTCCTCGTTCAAAGACACGTGGGAAAACCGAGGCTAAGATGAAAAGATGTCGTACTAAATGATTTACGTAAAATGGGCATTAATAATTGACAAAACATTGGGTCGAACCGAGAACAATGGATCAAGTTAAGGCTCATCCGGGACTGTAACGCTGATGATGATGAAAGATTTATACGTATATACACAATATATAAAACCTGCTATGGCACTATTGTTTAAATATTCATAAGAACTTTTTTTTGAAACTCGAAAGTAAAATGGGATTAGTGATCGCTTGAAATAAAGAATTCGAAGAAAAATTTATAGGAAATTTGGAATTAGCTCTACGGAATGGGTTTCTTAATAGGTGATTAGTAGTGATCACCTCTGCGAATATCCAAGGCCTTAAATAATTTCGGTAATGTCATGTTACATGCTTAAAATATTGTTTTTATTTTTTTAATTTATTTTTATAATTATATTATACAATGCAATACAGAATTTTTATTTTGTTTTAATTTTTAAACTAAGGAATAAATATTACTTTGTTTTCTTTCAATTTGCGTTTTCCTTTTCCCTTTTTCTGGGATTAAATTTTGTTTCCGTTATTTATTTTTCATTTTTCTTCATTTGCTTTGCTAAATTATTTTTTAATCTGCCTTTTCAACACAGTGTTCATTTTGTTCCCCCATAAAAAAATATAAGAAACAAAACAAAAAAAAAAGAAACAAATCGATTTTTCCAATTTTGTTAAAAATGCAAATTTTTAAATGAATTCTTTTTCGACTAAAAAAAATTCATTCTTACGAATTTTATTTCACTATTCTAGAGGAGTATAGTCAAACTATCGGTCATGTCAGGAGGCTATCTCCACACAAATGACAAATTGTTTTTCAATTGCAAATATTTGGTTGCACTTAATTCGAAACAAGTAACTTCTCAAAACTGAATACTACTTATATATAAAATTAACATTTACTAATCACATAATTTAAATTATTTGATTGCTTCAAACAACATGTTAATTGTGCGAAAACTTAGAAAAAAAGCAATGAATGACGACTTACATTTATAGCAGCATTTTTAGATACCATAATATTTGGCAAATATACAGACGAAATAATTTCTCAAAATTTTTAAATAAAATCGATTTGTTGCTACTTGCTTATCTAATATGGCCCAAAAAAATGTAATTAATTAAAAAACAATTTTAATTAAAAAATATAAAATTAAAAGAAAAAAAAACATATTTTCATAATTTTGTAAGGGGGAAAAGATTGATTTCTCAAAAATAGGGTTAGATAGGTAGGTATTCACAACACGTAATTAAACACTGAAATTGAAAAAAAAAAAATAAAGAATGAAAATCAAATAAATTCTTAAATTAAATAGAAATAAAAATTATTGAAAAATTATGTGTAAAATAAAAATACAAAAAGAAAAATTTGTACACACAAATGTTTGTTTTGTTTTTTTATTTTTTATTTATTCAATTAAAATACTTTCTTACCAGAAACATCTTGTTCAGTATTTCCACGATTTGAAGATCCCGATGATTTATTTGATCCATTTGTAATAGTCACTGAAAATAAAATCATAACAAATTTCAATAAAGAATTTTAAATTTAAAAGAATTATTTTTTCTTATTTTAAAAAACCTTTAATTAATTTTTTGGAAATTACATAAAAACCTAAGTAATAATTCAGAAGATTTCAGTTACATGCTTTTTTTTTCTTTATGAAATTTTATCAAATAAACTATAATGTAAAATTTAATTATTGCGACTTGAAAAAAAAAATCAAAAGTGCTATTGAATTATTGATGAAGTTTTATAAAAGCTATTTAAAAATTCTAATTGAATAGAGAACAACGCCAGAGGATATTTAATATTCAATTACCTTGCAACAAATAAATTAAAAAAAAAAAAAAACAAATAAATAATGAACTTACATCAAATTAAAATTAATTTAATTAAAAAATTTTTATATTCTAAAAAAGGTATAAATAAATTCGTTCAAACATTTCGAATATAGTATAAAAAATTTAATTTGACTGACTAATTTAAACGAAACATTTGTTTTAATTTTTCTTTTAAGGATTCTGTTCTACTTTTTCTTTACTAACTTTGATTTGTTTGATGTATAATTGATGTTATGTCACTTTGTGAAGCTGATATATCTTTACTCGTTAAAACATCTGAACTACTGGAACCTAAAATGTAAATATTATATGATTATTTTACAATTTTTTTTATTTTTATTACAAATACCAATATTTATTTACCTGACGATATATGTCTATCCGTACAGCCGTATTGTATAGGCTGATATCCATGACTAGGATTATAGTGAGCTGAATATGGCATGTATAAGGGAGGATTTGGCAATGGTGCAATATCACTGGTAATGCTTTCTGTTTCTCCCAAACTAACATTCGATGGACCTTTAATAAATCGAAATAATTTATAATTTACACGCTTAAAAAAATATTTTTGTGTTTTTTTCCAATTATAAGTATACTAACATGTTGGTTTCTTTCCGTCACTTAAAACATAATAGCATTGCTCAGAAAATGTTAATTTATTTACTGTATGTTTAATTAAATTATTTCGTAACATTGCAGACACAATTCGTCTTGCTTCTCTACGATCTTGTACATCTTCAACATTTTCAAGCACCCAATTAACTGCGTCAGCCCCTATAGTAAATGAAATATAATTTATTATGTTAGAGTACAAAAAGTCTGTAAATTTTATTTATTACAAAAAAGCTTTCTATTCAAAGAGTATATAAAACTAAAATAATATTATTTAAAGACTTCTTACCTATAAAAGCATTGGGAATTGTAATTTTTAACCACATTCTATCTCGAATTTCTAAACCACTATCCGGCTTTATCATTGCTTTTACGATTTCTTCTAAATTATTTCGGTCTAAACGTTCTTTAATTGGTTCTGAAATATCGGGACAAATACTATCATGTGATGTTAACGCTTGTGTATGTGCAACCCATGCGCCAGGATCGATTGGTCTAACCGGTTCTGTTCGAGGAATCGTAAAATAACCTTCCAAAATGTAATATAAAGTTGTTAAAAATATATATTTTTTTAATTTAAAATATTAAAATATCAAAAACTAAAGAAAATAAAAGCATAAATTATATAAAATTAGTAAACCTTTTGGATTAGGATCCCAACATTTAGCAACCACCAATTTTATAGGACCTGGTTTTTGTACAACTTCTCTTAAAACTCTAACGGCTTCATCATTTGTCATATTTTCAAAGTTGACATCGTTTACCTTAAACAGTAAAATTTTTATTAATATGATTTTAAAATTCATTTATGTTACATTAAGAAAATATGTATATAGATTATACCTGTAAAATCATATCACCGGGTTCAATACGTCCATCTAAAGCAACAGCACCTCCTTTCATTATACTTCCAACATAAATACCACCATCACCACCCCTATTCGATTGACCCACTATAGAAATACCCAAAAAATTTACGGCTTCCATATTAATTGAAACTGTTATTATATTTAAAGACATAGTAGAATCTGTTATTGAGCTGTAACTTGATGTACGTGACATTGTAGGGGCACGTTTTTTACGCCTTTGAGGTTTTTTTCGTACTTGTAATCTTTGTATGCTACTACATTCAGTCATATCTCTGTCTAATGTTATTTCACTTTCAGTACCAAATAAGCTTGTTGAATCTAAATCACTTGATAATATTGAAGTTTGTTGATATGTTAACGGTGGCATCATTTGATGATTACCAGTTATACCACCACCACCTCCACTTAATCCACCAGTTAAAGTTGAAGACAAAACATTTCCACTTCCAATATTTCCTGGTATTAAATTACCAATATTAGAACCATTACCACCAACTCCAATTCCACCACCACCGCTACCCCCTAAGGTTGTATTCATTTTATTTGAATTTCGTTGTGTTGTATTACATACTATTTCGCTTGTTGGTACCTCCGAACAATTATCCGATTGATTGCTACCATCAGCCGATACCAGCTAAAAAATAAAAACAATTTGAAAAAACAAAATAAGAGAAAAAATCATTTTCATATTTACCCATGAAACAACTCGCCCATTAAAACAAGGTAAAATTGTTGAATCCTCTGCTATTTCCTCTTTAACAACCCTTTCAAAAGAACAAATAAAAAACATTTGAATATTTGAATACTTAAATTAAATGTTTGAATTTAGTTATCCGCCTGAATTTAAAATCACAATAATACAGTACTAATAAACAATTCAGCTTATAAAATATACTTAATTGCTGAATTTTTATTATTATTATTTTGAAGTCAAAGCATTAATTAATACAAGTTATTATTAAAATTTTCAAAAATTTATTTATATTAATATTTATATTTTATATTAATATTAAAATAAAATTTATTTATATAAATTTAAAAATTACCCAAAATCAGCATCCATTGACTTAAAAAAATATTTATAATTATTATTTTGTTTATTTAGCACCATTTTAAAATCTTTTAATGTTACTTGAGCTGATGGTAATGGTATTTTCACCAAATACGGTGTTGTTTCATCATCAATATGATAGATGACTTTTGTTTCTAGAGACTCGCCCATTATTCATAAATTTTAAATATTTTTTTTTTATTTATAAAATAAAACAAAACTCTTAAGGAAGATTTTTTTTAATGTTTAAAATTAAAAAATTTTTTGTCGTACTTTGATTTTCCTTTGTTTTAATTGTGAATGTTATTTGTGGTGTTTCAAAACAAAAAAAAAAAAACAAAATAAAAAAACGCAAAAAGAATTTTCTTTTTTTTTATCACGTATGAATTTTTTTTCTCTCTCTTTCTTTTTTTATGAATATTTCGGAAATTTACAGCCAGTTTCTTTTTATTTTGTTGATTGATGTAGAATATGTTCTCCTTCTTTTTCTCTCAAATAGGAAATTTTTGACAATTTCATCTAATTAATATGAAAAATTTGAATAATTTTATCATTATTAAATTTTTCTTATATTTTATTTTTTTTGGTCATATTGAATTTTTTTTCAGCATCTAAACATTTAATCATTTAATATTTTTTTATAAATTTCTATAATTTATTTGTTACTTCAATGTACTCTTAGAATCATTATGATTTACTTAAAAAATTGCTATAAAAATGTTTTTGTTTTGTGTTTGTGCTAATTAATTTTTCTTCTTGATCCTAATCCTTTTTTTCAATATTACAATTGATGATTTCAATCCAAAGTTATATAAAAAATTTCATTTTTCACTGAAATTTAAAAAAAAGAAAAAGAATATATTTTTTTAATATATACAAATTTGTAAGTATATTTACATATATACTAAATTAAAACCATAAAAGCTTACATTTTTTTAAATATTGTAATAATTTTAATAAATTTAGTAAATTGATTGTATATTTTAATAATATTTGTAATTAAAATAACCAAAAAATAGTTCATTACTGGCGCCTATCAAATAAAAAAAGCAATTAGGAATGCATTACCTACAATAAGTCAAATTGACACATTCAATCTGAATTTTGGTAGATGTCCCCTATAGATATTATTCCGAATTTCCAGCTTATAAATGCTAAATTTTGAATGTTAAACGAGTTGTACTACAACAAGACAAATCCATCACCTTAATATAAATGGATTTACTTAACTTAATCATGAAACCTACATACAAATTATCATTTATGAGTTGTTGCAATCTGAATTTATAAATAGTTATTATTATTTCGTAATTCAGGGTTTAAACATAAATTGCTGAATTATGAAATAATATTTATACTTTTGTAATTTATGTCAGGGATTTATTAAACAATTAAAATTGGTACACTATAGATTAAATTATATTAACAATAAAATTTGAAATTCAGTATAGTATGGACACAATATGTACAAACACACAAACAATTTCATATGAAATTCATCAAATTTGAATTTTATTTTTTTTTTCAATTATTTTATTATGTTTGGAGTTAGTATATATTAAATTGTTTAGCAAAAAAAATAAAAATAGATTTCAACAAAAAAAAAAACGGATTCTTACTGTCAAATGATATAGTAGTATATGTGATATAAGTGTTGAATTTCGGAAAATAAGAAATGTAGTATAATTTTCTACACTGGAACAGAGCAGATGAATTTCAATTTTTTTTTTGTTTTTCTTTTAATTCTCCCAGTATTAATCGTGTTGGTTATCATCATCATCACCATGATCACCATCATCATCATATCATCATCAATATATCATCATCATCAACATTATTTTTATCATGGAATGATAGGCACTGCTCATTTTTAAAAGAAAGTAACGCTTATCGTTTTGTTTTTATTAATATATTTTTCCTATAGTTTTCAAACTATTTTCCATATAAATTTCTATGTTATATACAGTACATATGTAATATATACATATAATAATATATACATATAATATATAACCATCAATTAGTTTTTTTATTTTAATTATTACTATACGAATAATTTTTTTTTTATATATTGACATTTTATTTATACTTAATGTTAATTTTTTTTGTTTTAATATTTTTTTATTATTAATATTGTTAATTAGTGTTGCTGTTTTAATATTTCAAATATTGATTTTTTAATTGTGTTTTTTTTTTCGTTTGCAATAATTATTAGCGATTTTTTTAGAAAAATAAAGCATAGGGACAAAAACTTTCAACTTTTTTAAAAGATCATCCTTTAATATTGACAATTTCTAATATGTATATGCATATATATAAATTTTATTAAAAAAATTTAATAATTAATTTCAATTTTTATTACCTTAAATCCAAACATCGAATTTTGCTTTGAATTTTTAAGTGGTAAACATATATATATATAATCATATATTAAAAATTAATTATCGGATTTAAATATGGAAAATCTTTACCATTTTTGTTTTTGACATTTTTTTTATTTTAAACACAAAAGTATAAATTTTAAAGTAATTTAAAAAAGTAATTTAAAAAAGTTGTGAAAAGCATTGAAACTTGAGAAGTCATAAATTTTTTTTGTTTGATAACAATATTAATAAAAATGTTACAATAATAATAAAGTTTATTTAATTTTTTTTGTTTTTTTCAATTTATTATTTATTTATTTATTTATTTTTTCATAAATTTTAAATTTATAAAATATATTACATATTTCCCAAATAGACACAATATTATATACCATTCTTTTTTATTGAGGAACATAATCCATTTTGAAAGACATACCTTAGATGTACATTTATATAATTCAATTTTAATAATATAAACGATGAGATATGGTCATACTTTTATTTCTAATATTACAAAAACATAATGTAATTAGGTACGAGGGGTTTCCGTTTATACAATTTGAATTTAGCAACAATATTTGCATTAATTTTTTTTTGGTAATTTTATTTTAATTCTGTAATAAAATATATATGTATATATGTATTAAGGTTTTTGCTCATTGCATTTCTAATCTATGGCTGAATATTATTTACTTGTACTTTTTTAATGTATTTTATTTTTCATTAATGTTATTATTATTTTTATTAGTTAATTATTATTTGTTATTTATTATTTACTATTTATTATTTATTATTTATTTTTCATTTTTTATTATTTATTTTTTATTATTTATTTATTATTTATTATTTATTATTTTTTAATTATTATTGATTATTTATTTATTTTTCATTTTTTATTATTTATTTTTTATTATTTATTTTTTATTATTTATTTATTATTTATTATTTATTATTTTTTAATTATTATTGATTATTTATTATTTATTATTTATTATTTATTATTTATTATTTATTATTTATTATTTATTATTTATTATTTATTATTTATTATTTATTATTTATTATTTATTATTTATTATTTATTATTTATTATTTATTATTTTTTATTTATTATTTATTATTATTCATTATTTATTATTTATTTTTTATTATTTATTTTTTATTATTTATTTATTATTTATTATTTATTATTTATTATTTATTATTTATTATTTATTATTTTTTATTTATTATTTATTATTATTCATTATTTATTATTTATTTTTTATTATTTATTTTTTATTATTTATTTATTATTTATTATTTATTATTTATTATTTTTTAATTATTATTGATTATTTATTATTTATTATCCATTATTTATTATTTATGATATATTATTTATTGTTATGATTATTATTATTATTATTATTGTTTTTTTAAAGACTTGCAGATATTATAATTATACAGTGTTATTATACTAAGCATTACGATTAATGTTAAAAATTTAAAAGTACAAAAATGAAAGTAACATAAAAATTTGGCTTCGGTTAAATTAAAAATTTTAATGAAAATTAAAAATTAATTATAATTTTAATTATTATTTGTTATTAACATTAACAATTTTTTTTTATTTTTATATTTTTTTGTTTTTTTTTCAATAATACTGCTTTTAATATGTTTTTCTAATGTTTTTTAAAAACAATATATAAAATATAAGTACATGATTGTTATTTTTTTGGGGAGACCATAAGTAAAATTAATTTTTTTAATCATTATTTTTAATTTAAATAATAAATATAAAAAAAACTTTGAATTTAAATTATTTTTATTATTAAAAATTTTATATAAATTTTTAAATTTGAGATTTAAAAATTTAAATTTGACATAAAAGAAATTGAATTTTTTAATTAACTATATCAAAACACAAATAATTATTTCAAATTTTAATGTTATTATTATTATTAATATTAAAGTAGAATTTACGTTTTATTTTAATTTATTAATTAACGTCTAAAATAGCAATAGGAAAAATATATATTTTTTTTTTATAAATTTCCTTCTAGTAATTATTTTATATTATTATTAAAAACTTTTTATTTTTTTTAAACCGGATTTATAATTATTTTGTAGTAATAACTAATATGTATATTGAAAACGTATATATAAAAAATATAATTTAAGTAGCAGAAAATTTTTTTTTTATTATTTTTTTTTTGTTTAATTAAAAAAAATTAATTAATTAATTATTACCATTAAAATCTTTATCACTTAATTTACCAGAATCATTACTATGCATTCTTTGATAATTAGGTGGATGATTTCCACGTGTTGCTGATGCTGATGATGGTGTTGATGGTGTTGTTGATGTTGTAATATCATATTGTCCATTATTTGTTCCACTATTATTATTATTATTATTTCCACTATTATTATTACTTCCATTATTATTATTATTTCCTGTTGTTCCTGTTGTTGAATTTGATGTACCACCACCACCAGATGTTGTTGTACCAGTTGCTGCTGTTATGCGATTGCTTAACTCACCCCGCATAAATCTTTCTAATTTATCAACACATGCATCTTGATAATCATGTATCCATCTAACACCATTAAAGTGACAAACACTTCTCATATCTTCTGGTAATTGTTCTGGTTCTGGCCATTGAAAATTATCAATAATTGGTATTATATTACAATTAGAGTTTAATGCAGCAACAATTTCACGATGTACCCAATCTTTACATTCATAATCTTCAATACATCTTTCTAATGCTTCTGGTGTTAATACTAATATAAAATGTTTTGCTTGTCTAATACTATTTAATAAATTATTATCAAATTTACCAGCTTCTAATCTTTCAACATCAATAAATACAGAAAAACCACGTAATTGTAAATGAACTTTTAATAAACTTGCTAACTGTGAACCATTTGATCTTCTATAACTAACAAACACATCTAATATTTTTTCTAAATTATCTTCAGACGCATTTACATAATTACTTTCTTGTGATTTTAATGCATTTAATATTCTTAAACGATGTATTGAATTCGTAATACTACATTCAGCAAATAATTGATCTTCAGTTAAATGTTTTAACGTTTCACGATCAACACCAGCATTTAACATTGCATATGTATATGTACAATATTCTGCACCAATTGTTACTAAAAAATTATGTATTTTAGCTGCATCTTTTGATGAATAATCAGCCATTTTCATTAAATTTTGTAGTTCTCTTAAGAAACGTTTTCTTTTAATACCATTACATATACCAATATCTTCTCTTAAATTACATTCATTTAATTGTAATAACAAATCACCATCAACTAATGATTCATAAAAATTTCTAGCATATTCCTCAAAACCAATTTGTTTAACCCATTCTTGTACATCTTCCACAGACCATAATGGTACTTGTTGTGATAATTTATGTGGTACTTGTTCACCAATTAAACGTAATGCTTGCGCTGCAAATTTTGATGCAATTGCATTCGGACAACTAGCAACTGTTTTTAATGGTTCGATAGCACCAATTTCATTAAATATTTCTGTACAACCTTGTTCTTTTTTAATACCAGCTTCCATGCAAAAATGAAATGCCGCTAAATTTCTTGCTTCTTCACGATTTGAATTTAATACTGGTACTAAACGTTGCAACCAATGTTTTGATTGACCATGTGCATACGATAAATTTGATTTAGCAAATTCAGATGGGTTATGTGTTGTCACAAATGGTTCAACTAAATCTAAAGTACCTGATTTTAATACTTCAGCTTCAATTTCTTTATTGGCAACTAATGCAGCAATTGCCAAACATGCGTAATATTTGACTGTATCGTCATCATGAAATGCTAATGGAAATAACCACATTGGTACTTTTTTGCTAATCATTGCTTCTTGATTTTCAGCACCACCATACAACGATAAATTAGCCAATGCACCAGCACAATGCCTTAATGTTTCTGTATCATTACGACGACATTCAAATAATACAGCATCTAATCCACCTAATCTTATAACATCAGAACAAGTACCTTCACTATGTTTAAATAAATGTTCTAATATACCAGTACCAATACGAGAATGATCTGTTTTTGAATTTTTTGTGCATACACATGCAACATTAACAACTTTTTCTAAACCATTATCAACAACATGAGAACGATTTTCAATTGTTAAACATTGTTCTAATAATTTTGCTGATGAAAATTTAACATCATGATCACCTTCAACACAATTTTTCATTAATAAATCAAGTCCACCGCTATCTCTTAATGCATTACATAAACTATATCCTAATTTATGACCAAAAGTTGGTACTGTCCATGCTCTTTGTATTATTTCATTAATATTATTTAATGTTGGTATTTTAATTTTTTCAGATGAATTTGGTAATTGTAATTGTTTTACAAATAAATCTAATTGTGTTGAATATTTTTTAATTGCATTATCAATATCTTTTGGACTACTATTTGAACATAAATTACCCAAATCATCTAAATTTAATGTACTGCCATCTAATATCATTGAATTTTCATTAATTGATTGTTGATTACTACTTGCGTAATGTGTTGATGACATTATCATATTACTACCAGCTGTTGCGGCACTACTACTTGTTATTTTAAAATTTGTTTGTGCACTTGCAGCAACATGTGTTATACCTGTTGATGATGATGATGATGTTGTATATGATGATTGCTTTTGATGATGTTGTGCTTGTTGTTGTTGCTGTTGTTGTTGTTGTGATATCATTCTATGATTTTCCATACAAAATGTATTACTTTGCATTTGATTTGTTGCTGAAGTTGTTAAATGTTGTTGAGTTGTTGTTGTTGTTGATATAGATCTTTCTTGATGTTGCTGTTGTGATTGTTGTTGAATTGCTTCAGATGATAATGATAATGATTGCTGTTTACCACGAATTTCTTTCATATGATATTTATTACGTATTGCTGCTGACGCCTTATTTGTTTCTAATTCAAAATTAATATCATTATTACCAATACTATTATTATAATTATTACCAGTTATAATTCCACCACCACCAGTATTTTGTATACAATTTAATTCACCACTACCTGTTATCGATTCTGTTGATGCTGCTGCTGACATTGCTGATGCATTTCTAATAGCATGTTCGCTACTTATGCTATTACTTCTGCTACTAGTAAATTTTTCTTGTGACATAAATTGTGTTTTTGATTCTTTTCTAAATCTTTTCTCTTCAAAATTCAATGATGATGATGCAATTGAATTATTACAATTATTATTATAATTATTTAATTGCCAATTTGGTGGTACATTTTTTGTTAATTGATTACCAGAAGGTAAAATAATCTCATTATCAGTTTCAATACCACCACTATTTTCTATATTTACAATATTTGTACCATGTATGTTTCCTAATCCACAGTTTTCAGCACCAGCATTATTATTACTATATTCATTTTCACCACAAACAACACCAGAATTTAATTTGGTTATTCCTATATAATTAACATTTGTACCACTATTACTACCACCACCACCGCCACCACCATTTTCATAATCATTAGTTTCATCTTCTGGAAAAGTTACTAAAGGTTCTGGAGTGTTCATAACATTCGATGATTGTACATTACAGTCGTTATCAATTAATTTTTCTAAAGATGAATGCAGTATTTTTTGATGTTCTTCTAATTTTTTTTGTGAAGCCATTGTTGAATTAGTTTTTCCTAATGCTAAATCACTTATTTCTGACATTGAACTTCTCATTTCACTTAAATCACGTTGTAATGCATGTGCTTTTATTTCAGTTTTTGATGATGATGATGATGATGAAGTTGATGTTGATTTCGATGATGTTGATGATGCTAAAGTATTATGTACACGTTGACCTTTAGAATTATGTTGTAATTGTTGCTGTTGTTGATTAATATTATTAATAGCACCACCAATAATTTTATTATTATTAAAATTATTCATTTTATATTGTAATTGCTGTTGATATTGTTGTTTCTCGTTTAAATTCTTAATCGAAGATTGTGATGATAATGGTGGTGGTGATATCGCTGTTGTTTTTTTTATACCAGTTGATGATGTACTTATTGAATTTTTATCTTTGTTATTATCAATGTTAGAATTATGAATCGTTGATCGTTCGCTTTTCAATTTATTTGAATTCGAATAAAAAATTTGAGGCTTTGTAGATGTTTTGGCTTGCTCTGACATCATAAAAGGATTTTAACACAATCTATATCCTACATTAAGGAATATATAATACAGAATCATCAGTTTTAATATAAGCAGATGATGATATATGTATATATGACATATATATCTATATATATACATATATACCTATATATAAATGGTCAGTTTGTTTTTTTTTTTGATGATGAATTTATGAGAAGAAAATGTATTAGAAAAACAAAATATTAATTATTGTGTTTATTTTTCATTTAATCCTTAAGATTTCGTAATACAATTTTCATACTTAAATTTACAAAAAAAAAAATGGTATAATAAATTTGTTTACACATCAAACATTTCCTTAGACTATGAAAAATGTCAAAAACCTTTTAAAACGGTTGTAACAAATATAGAATTCACACAATTTTCATTTCTCAACAAAAATTGATGTAAAACATTGGCCGTTTAAACAACAAACTTTTCTCAAAATTTTCGATAAAATAATAAGAAAATCCATGAATAATGTTTGATGTGTAAAAGTTTTATCTCTACACACCAATGGCAATTTTTATATATTCTACAGAATAGTGAAAAAAAATAGTATTTTAAAAAAAAAGAGAAAGAAAACATAATGATAATATTAAAAATCATCAGAGTGTTTTTACAATAAATATAAAATAATATATTCCTGTACTTTTACAAAAGATCTAACGACATAACACACACTTTTACCATAATATATAGCAATAAACTTCAACGGCTGTATATTAAGCGAATAATCGAGAAAAGTATAGCTACAGCGCATTGCGATAGATGGCTTTTCTCAAGTATACTATTTATATCTTATTTTTTTTGTTTTTTTTTTTTATTTCGATACACTACAACGAGAGCTGAAAGTTAACCCATATTACATTTTCCTCTATCACTCATATAATTTTGCCAATAAAACGTTTTAAATGTTATATAAAAACACGCGAAAAATGCGAGTTCATACATTTATTTTTGTTTATAAGCACTTATGTATATACAGGAAAAATCTGGTGCCTTCTTTTTCAGCAGACCTCTTTCGATTTTTTTGTTTTTATTTCAAAGATTGTATACATTGGTCTTCCTAAATGTATGGAATCTTTGAAAAATATTTGTATTTCAATAAAAATAATTTTAATACATAGATTTTTTAATAGTATTTTCACTTTTTAAAAGGAAAAATACTACATTACAATTCATTGGTTTGACTCAACTTTAATGCTAGATCATACGAAAAATTTCACATTGTTCCTAATGTTAAGCCTAGTACTACGGGCTTAACGCAATTAAAATAAAAAATTTCCTCATTTGGTAGTTACCAGTTCTTTTTCTGTAAGCAAATAAGTACCTATGTCTAGTTGTATAGATATGTAAAAGTAATATGTAAAGCATAAAGCGACTTAAGGAAGCGACGTTTTACGTCAGAAAAAATGAAAAAAAACCCTCTCAGCATATGAAAAAAAAATTGGTAAAAAAATAGTAATTTTTAATATGAACTTAAGCATCAGTTTTCGCTCACCTTTGAACATAGTTTTTGCTTTGGTTTGTAATCATATTAAATTTAACACCCATTTTTTCTAGGTGTATGAAAAGAAAACTCCCTTTTATTGGGAATAAAATACTTTTTTTTTGTTAATATATTTCGTGCGCTACATATGTCCTTTATCAAGGCTGATTTTCTTCTCTTATTTTTGTTACAATTAAAAACATTTTCATTTGATTTTTCTTTGTTTTTCTTGATTATACCATTTACTTAATAAATACATTTGTGCAACATTAACTCTACAAAATTTGTATGATTATATGTAGTACCATCAGTGTTTTAGTTTATGAAAGTTTACAAACCGTTTTACAATAGGAAAATTGCTTTTTATTGGCTTTTCAAACCATTTAACTCAAGATACAGTACAATATATACGATTATAACGCAGCAATCGATAGAAAAATATGTCGGCCTATGGTCGTCATATAATTTTAGTGGGTCTATTTAAGTCACACTAAAAATATAAAAGCGTATTTAATAATACTTCAAAGGAGTTTTTGCGCACATTTATTGTCCGGTGATGTCTTATATTTTTTTATATTAATTTTTATTATTTTAGCATGTGGTGATAGTGCTTGTGTGAATATGGAAAATTAATTAATAAGTATTGAAATTCTAATTTAAATAAAAAGAGAAAAAATAGAACAAGCCTCTTTTTAATTTAATATTCTTTTTATTTTAAAGCGTACTATGACATTTGGAATTAACTGTACAGGAATATTTGATTAATTTAGAAAAAATTTTTTGACTATTCCACTTTATATACCCATCTAATGTTTTAAAAAGCTGATAAAGATTTTAAATTAAATTTCTCTTAATTTTTGTATTTTTCTTTTCTCTTTTTTTTACTGTTAAATAAACTTACACATTTTCGATCTTGTTAACATTTTCAATTAGTTTGCGTTATTAAATTTATTAATTTTAATAAAATAAAAATAAAAGTATTAAAGTAAAATTCTATAAAGTTTTGGTATTGAATAAAGTCAAAACACCAAAAGAAACTACTTAATTAAAATTTTAATTAATCTTATGAGTTTGCAGCACAGAAAATTTTTACATATTACTCAGATTTTTTTTTGTTTTTTTCTTTTTATTTTTATTGACTGTAATTTTTTTTTCTTTTTAATTGTTTTGTTCTTTTGCTTTTATATTAAGTAAAAATAAGTGCAATAAAATAAAAATTAAAAAAAAAACACAATGATGATAAAGCATTTGATATTTTGGACGATAAATAATTTTAGGTATTGACACATCCTAAAAAAAAAAATGTTGGGAAAAAATGAAAAATGCAAGCGACGATAAAATAGGGATGACGCAGAAAACCCTTAGATGATTTACATAAAAATTTTACCATAAGAATAATCGCCTAAATAGAAACTTGAGAGAGGAGAGAGAGGGGGGGCGACAGCTAAGGGCAAAAATAAAAAAGAGAGAAAGAAACAAGAGAAATGCAGAGAGCCTGAAAGTAGAACAAACAATGTTACTGTTGAATTGTCGAAACACTAAATTAAAATTATAATAAAGAATTCTAGAAAAAAACCTAATGAAAATAGTTAACTTTATGTGTGTATTGACCATAAATAAGCTTTATTGAAAGTTTATCATACATGTTATACGTAAATGTAAATGACTTTCGCAAACACTCGCCAATGATATAAGTACAAAATCTCTAGGAGAACGGAAAATTATTTATTAGCATTAGACATGGTACGATAAATTTAAAATATTTTGCAATATGCACATAGTTACAGTGGTGGGTATCAAAAAAAAATAAAAAAAAAATTGCAAAAATTTGTATTTGTTTCGAAAATTTAAAAAAAAAATATTTTCTTTGTTCTTTTTTTTTGCTAGGTTTTAATGTTTTTTAAAATAAACTTTGACTTTTTTTTAAATAAATTTAAATAAATTTAAACTACACATGAAAAAAAATAAAATATAATAAAATTACAAGAACAAGAGTTTTATTAAATAACAGTATTGCCGATAGTGTCCAAAAAATATTGCCAATATCGTCTAGGTTGGAGGGGCGCTATTATGTCGGTATTTTTTTTTAATAACAGTACACATCTTCGAATTTACAATTTTATTTTAATATATATACTTGTAAATTCTTCTAATTATTTAAATTTTTTTATTGCGAGTTAGCAAATTTAGAAACGATTGCCCTACATTTAGAAAACTACATTTTCAAATTTAATTTAAAAAAGTTGCAGGAACGATTTGGATTGAACCATGATAAATAATTTATGTTTAATCAAAAAGCGCATGATTACAAAACTGTCTGTCTATCTAGCGGAAAACTATTTTAATCGGGGCCAGAATATACCTTTACATATTTCTTTTAGAAATATTCTACATCCGTTATTAACGGTTATCACTGTGTACAATTTTGTAAGTTTCTTATAATATGGCAGTGCTATTGATAAATTTTTTTTTCCATTTAATGATTTTATTTTTTTTTTTTTTTTGCTTTTTGAATCATTTTTTTGATTCGATTAAGTAAATATGTATACGCAGTAGATGATAATACTTTTATAAACATATTTACACACCTGTTAAAATTATGTAAGCAATAAAACCCAACAGTTTTACATTTATAAAAATCTTTAAATTTCAATAAAAATTTAATTTTATTGGATTTACACAGAAATACTTAACAGGTCTCATCAATTCAGATTTACACTCTCACAATCCAGATTATTTGTTTTTTCTAATTTACACACACAACGTAATAGCACCCTTCAATATATTTAAAATTACTTTTGTGTTAATTAATTTATTTGTCAAATATTTTTATTCTGTATCTTATATGAAAATGAATGCACCTACCTAATTACTATATGCCTTAAAAATATAGTGAAACACATACATATGATAAGTACATATCAGTGTTTCTTAACTTTTTAAATGATTCGCACAACTTCCGATGTAAAGGTGTGCTCTCGCACCCCTCTGAAAATTGGAATGTTTTCTTACCTAGAAAACAAAAATTAATTCAAAATTCAGAATATGTAATATATTTATTGAGATATATTGGTTTATGAATAAAACCAAAATATTGAAAAGAATATAAAAAATAAAAAAATTAAGCAAAAATTCCTTTCCTAATCTTGCTCTTCATAATTTTTATGTGTGTATGTGTACATCAAAAAATTATCTTCTTTACAAATTGGTTCATGCACAAATCATTGAAACATAATCATTTTCATTGAATCAAACAAATTTAAAAATTGTTGTTATAAGAAATATTTAAATACTCAAAATGTAGTTTAACATAAATTATTATTCGTTTGTATTTCTTTTAAATGATTAAATTGATTTAATTTTAATTTTCTTGGATATACTTTTTTTAGTTCTAGTATGTACATATGCTATCACAAATTTTGTAAGTACAAATTATTATTGACTTTTTATATTTAGAAGAAGATTATATTAAGAGTTTTTTAGATTTTATATTCATGTTAAGACATCATTATAATTTTAATTGTTTTAACTTTTAATCGTTTTCTCGTTCTTTTTTTTTTTTATTTGTAAATACATATTTTTAAAGAAAATATGTATTTACATATTTTTTCAAGATAATACATATTTTTTTAAATAAAATATTAGTTGCAATGTATGTACATATGTACATATAAACATTTATTTATATTTTTCTTTTCTAGTGTCTTATTCGAGTCTATTGCGAACACCCCCGGTTAAGAGTCACTGGTATATATGAGTGTTTAATATATGATATGCATATGCATGCTAAAATTTCACAAGTATGTGCAAGATTACATTTAACAACGAGCGCAATAATATAATTGATCGGCTTTTGTAAAAAAAACAGTTTGTTTTTATTCAAAACAATTGCAAATATTTTGTTTTACTCAGAAATTATATCGAATAAATAAGATTACTTACAATTACAATAAATAAGCAGTAAAATCTGTATTTACGTAAGTAGCGTAAAAGTATATTTCATTTATTAGAAAAAAGAAAATTAATTTTATTCATTTTTTTGATATATTTTAAAAAATAATTTTGAAAAAAATGTGATTTTGCTTTCGTTGTGCTCATCCGTCTGTATATTATGTGCTTCTGCACAATCTGTCTACTACAACATTTTATATCATATATAATAAAGCTCTACATTCGGCATGTTAAGAACTTTTCCGATATTCGAAACGTTTTCGACTTCCCCATTTGAGAAATCCAATTTAGAAATTATTGTTCTTCACAAAATATGATAGAACAAAATTTCTGACTTTTACATCACAAAATATAAATGAAATCTGCGATTAAACCCTCTACACTCTCTAAAAATCGCACAAATTTACAAATACATATTATACAAGGTGTTTCGCATAAAGTGGCAAATAATTTCAGACCATGCGACAGAGAGTAACCATCGGTTATATGAAATATGAATTTTCCGCATGTTTTAAAACACATTTTACTGGCAAAACTGTAAGAGATAGTGCAAAATGTTATATCGGTTAACTTTAAGCTATCATTGTAGCGCAACGAAAACAAAGAAAAAAACAAATTTTTTTTAAAATTTCAAGTTTTTTAAAAATAATAAAGATTCTAGGCATTTTCGTAAACACAATACTGCAAAACAATTATGTGATACATACGCAATATATTTTTAACAGTTGTACAGAAACTTTTGCTATTTTAAATTTGCAGTATAGTTTCATGAACAAATATCGTTAACAAAAATTTATTTATTTTGGACCAAATAGTGGAAAATTCTATTTCAGAAAAAATAAAAATTAAGAAATTTTGTTATTTTGAAGCTCAAAAATTAACAGACAAATTTTTAAAAAGCTGATAAAACTAGTAAAAAGTGATTTCATTGCGCTACCCATGATATTGTAAATATTTTTGTGATAGGTTATCAATGTTTATGAACAAATTTGATTAACAACATTTTTTATGAATATAAATAAAGCGCAGTTTGCACTGTATATCGCAATATACTGTGTTTATAAAAAGGCCTTCTGATTTTGACGAGTTTTATCTCAAAATCTAACTCAAATAAAGTTGGGTGTAAGATCTAAAATCTATGTTGCATGGTTCCGAAGTTATCAGTATTTATTTATATGCAGGAAAAACACGCTGCAACTCGAATATGAGTATACACACACTCCCCCTTCTATTTAATTAAAAAAATGCATTTTGAAGAAAATTTTTATTACATGGCAATATTTACAACTTATAAAATTACAATATCAACTCTATATTTTTAGAAATCTATAAAAAACGAAACATAGCAAAATCAGAGGACTAGTTGCTGTAAACCGAAAATATGAACTGGTAACATCACTATACGGAATATACGTTTACAGAAGCGAGGCAATTTTTAATTTAGGTTACAGTAATCTAGATCCGTCTCTTTATTAGTATACAACTCATGACTATTATTTTCTTTATTATAATTTAAACGGTAAAATCTTATAAGATAATGAAAACAAAAAATGTAAAAAGAAAGATTTTCATTATGGATTTTAACATTTTATTTATATTTTGTTTTAAGCATATTTTAGTAGATTAAAATTAATTAGAATTTGAAAAAAAAAGAATTATTTAAAAAAAAAGCAATGGAAACAAGAACAAAAATGTTACTCAAAAGAATGAAAATATCGTTAAAGCATTTTTTTTGTAATTTTCGTTTTCTCTTACCTTTTCTCCTTTATTTACTTCGTCCTTTATCTTTTTTTAAATTTAAAGTGTTACACGCGTAAAAATTCTTCCTTAATAATTTAATATTAACTGTAAGTTTATATACTACACGTTTCACTTTGTAGCCCGAAAAAGAATATTTTTTAATTTTTCCTGTTTTTCACTTTTATTTTTCGTATTTTTTTTTTATTAGTTTAATTTTAATTTAAATCAATTTTTTTCATTTGTTTTCGATTCTTTCTTCGTAAAAAGAAAATAATTTATAAATTTTGCTTTACTGTTATTTGAAAAATATTTACAGACTATTTCGTATCAAAGCTCACTGCTATATAACATTGTATAAATCCCCATGACTAGAAAAAACTTTTGAATGGATACGATGTTCACAGCTTAGCAGGCTCGGAATTACAGGGATTTAAAGTCAATTTCGAAAAATTTTTTTTAATTTTCAAAACTCAAAGTATAATTCCGTGCCTGTGCAAGACAGGTGCATTATTAAATATGATTTGAAAACTTCAGAATAAAAGCATTCTTATGAATATCAACATTTGTTATAATATGTTCAGATCTCGGAATCAAATGCCTTTAAAAGTTGAAAAATTTGAAATTCATCTTTGCATTTTTTAAAAACCTTAATTCTTTAGATGACGTTACATTATATTTCTCTCCAATTTTAGCAGAGTTAGCAACATTGTAAGCTGAGCTCTGAGCTTCCGTTCGGTATATGAGTCATCATGCTACCGGATTTGATTGTCTATACAATAGTATATAGTAGTGCACTTTGATACGAGACATCCTGTATATGCCATAAATAATACATAATACTTTTAGTTATATTGCTTTTACATCAATAGAAGATATAAAATCCTTGACTTCCAAAATGTGATAATACTATATTGCCACACAATTCAGCAATAACAGATTGCCACACAATTGCAATCTACACTATATATTAATACCATATTTTTACAATTTTGAAGTCATTGCATGTCATATGATATATAAATATAATTATAAGTTATACTTATATACTTATGTAAATGTATTAAACTTTACATCAAATTTTATTAATTTTTTTCTTATTCTCTCCGTTTATGCAAGTCGTTTCGTATTTATTTACTAACTATACACTTTTATAGTTTTTACATTCTAAAAGAAATATAGGATTTAGAGAAATAGAACCCAACTAACTACGAATATGCCTACTCAACTAACTACGAAAAATTATTACTTATAATGCTAAGATACACCACCAGTCCTACCTACCTATACCAATCCCATTTAAACTATCAAATTTATATTGAATTAATTAAAAATTTTAGTAAATAAATTTTACTTCATATTTTTACTTTATTTTGAATTTTGTTTTTAGTTCTCATTATAGGTACATAGGTATGTACACGCAATCCATGCCTAGTTAGAATCTTACATGAAAATATCAACTGAACGAGCGATTTTAATTGCAAATACTTTTTACATCGGTTGTGTGGGGGGTTAAATTGTACTTATGTTTATCTATACCTACAATATTTCTTTATCAATTATATATAATTACCAAAATAGATGTACATATAAGGATAAAAAAATATAAATTTAATTAATGAAAATAACATTATATTTATATTTTGTCACGCTTGAAAAATAATATACCTAAGTAAATTTACTTTCGATCCATCTTTAAGTGTTCGAATATTATAAGTGCTTACTATTTTAATTTATTATTGTTATTTTAACAATTTTAATTAAAATTGTTATATCCGAAATCTTAATATCATAGTTAATATATAAATGGAATATTTTTTCCTCCTCTCCTAAACATTGTATAGATTGTTACTTTTGATATCGATACTGCAATTTTGTCAACAAGATACATATGTATAGTTTTTCATTTTTTTCTTATCTAGTACCCTATGTGTAGCTTATTTTTTCTTTTTTTTTAATGTTTTATGATGAAATTACAATTTACAATATTGTAAATAGGTTTTCTGAAATTGTTTTTTGCTTTTCTTCTTTAAATAATGTTAATTATTGAAATATTGAATTAGGGTTTTTATGAAGAAGCAAACTGAAATATTTGCACAGCAGAGACACTCGGACATGGAACTATATAATTCTCAAGTGTCAATATATGGATATAGATATATATCACCTATAATAATAATAATGTAAAATTAGAAAAATTATTCACCAGAAAATTAATATTATGATTAATTCAACAAATGCACATGCCTACACACACAATCACATACAATTAAAATAAATATGAAACATTACACAGAAGAAAAGAAAATGTTTTTTCTTTTTCTTTTTTTCATAAAAAATTTCGGTTGATTTTTACAAAATTTATATTTACTTTTTTTTTAACTATTAAATGATTTCATTTTTCAGTTTTTTATGCTATTTAAAAAAAATGGATTTTTTTATTTCACTATTTTATTTTTAATTATTTCTGCTATTTTTCTTTCGCTTGATTTCAAATTCTCAATTTTCAACTCAAATCCAAAATTGTTCGTTCTTGCTGTTTTTTTTTAATAAAAAAAGTATATAGGAGGCACTGCGGGCATTTTTTTTTTATTTTTTTTTTTTTTGGGGTGCTAAAGCAAAACGAGACCAAAAAATGAAAAAACTAACAAAAAAAAAACAAGAGAACAAGAGCTACCGAAATCAATTTTACAAAAAATGTTAAAATTTTAAAAATACAAAAATATAAAACAGAGAGAAAAGAATAAAAACGACGGCAACCCACAAAAAAGAAAAGAATTGTTTCTCGAACAAAAACTTTTTGCTAAAAAAAAAAACAAATTTTATTAATTGCTTTTTTAAAATATTTTCCAACATTTAAAATTTTTTTTTAATCATTATGATTTTGTTTGTGAATTTTTCTCTAATTGCTTTGCAACAAATTAGAAAACAAATTATTTTCTTTTCTTTAAATTGTTCGCTTATTTTTTTATTTTTTTTTTTCAATCCTTGCAACCGATTTTTTTTAACTACTTTTATTAAATTTTATATTTTTTTTGTGTTTTTTAAATACTTGCTTTTTATTTATTATGGTTTTATTTTCTAGAATATTAAAAAATTATAATTTTTTTTTATAAAAAGAAAAATTTCTTAAATACCGTCTTTTCAAATTTGTATAAAAAATTATTTTTTTTTATTTTGTTTTCTTCTTCTATTTCTTTTGTTTGTTTTTTTTTTATTTTTTTAATATAGGTTTTTTTTTGTAAAAAATGATAAAATGAATTCGGCTCGTATCTGTCAAAAAAATTTATAAAAATTGATTGTGTGTTGTATAGAAAAAATTTTGAATGAGAAAAATAAAATGATAGAAAAAGATAGCAAAACAAAATTCTCTTATTCTCTTATATTTTTTCTTATGCTTTATTTTTACATATTAGAAAAATAAGGTAAATAAATTTTACTAAAAGTAAAGATTATTTATAATGAAATGAGAAAGCTTTATATTCGAAAAAAAAATTCAAAGATAAAAAAAGACAACAATACTTTATAATATATTTTCTTTTATGATTCACGAGCATGAGTACAGAATAGACTACATACTTACAGAGTGAAGGAAAAACAAAGAGACAATACAGCAAAAAAAAAGAGAAAATATGTTTATCTTGTTTTCTTTTTGATTCGTTTCGTATAATTTTCGTACTGGTCGTACTTCTATCGTTTACCGTACCGTCATCATTCATATTTTAAACCTAAAATATATAATCCCATGAATCTTGTAATACATGTATAGCCAGCGCTAATATTTCTTATTGATAAAGTACACTCCCATAGCACGCAGTGTACTTTTACGTCAAATTGATAATGTCAAATTTTGTTATCAATTTTTAGCATTACCATTGTGTCTTGTTTTTTGTGTAACTAAATAGTAGGCTATTTTAAGTTATTGATTATATTTTTGTTTTCGTAAAAGTGAAAAATATTTAAATTTGGATTTTTTTGCGAATATTACAAAGAAAAATTTTCTAAAAAAGTTAAATTTTATTTTGTGGTAAAATCATGAATTTAGCTTTACCAGTAAAGCAATTTTTCAAAAATATTAAAATATCAATTTTATTAGCAAGAAATACATACATAAATATAACATATTTTTTTTTTGAATTATAAACATAAATTTGAAAACAATAAAACATTTTTTAAAATACCGTTTCACATTTTTTGCAGTTCAAATATTTTTCTTTAAATATCTTTGAAGTTTTCTATTGTTTTACACATATGTACATACATATATGATTTTTCTTTTAAAATTTAACCCGAAATATTTTTAAAATCTTTAACAATAATGATAAATGAACAGAAAACTATACGTTTGGATTTTTATACGTTTTATAAAACGCTGTAATACTATATACAGATAACTCCTAACTGTAATGGTAGACGCAAAAATAGTTTTTTGATGCTAACTACTTGCTCGATTCGCTTGTTAAATAAAAATCGCAACATCAATTCATTAAAAGTAGGTATGTCTTTAGTATTTTGTAATGTATGGTATATGTACCCTGATGTAGCTCCATCAACGAAATTAAAAAATTCAATGAATATGCTTTATTACATTAGTTTCTGTATAAAAATTATAGTGTTTTTGAGGTGACTTATACAACATCATATACAGTAACCTTGTTCCGTTATCCCTTCCATTTAAGTTTAAAGTTTTCAAAATACATAAATAGGCGCATTTATCTTTTTTTTTATAATATCACAGAAATAATAAAATGTGAGCTCTCGTAATGAGAAGTGTTAAATAAAGTATTAAAGAACTTAAAAAAATCCAGTGGCAAAATTAAAATTATTATTAAAATTAGTATAGGAAGAGGTTGTTGTATTAAAGGATGACGATAATCACAGATTAAGTTTAATATGAATAATATCATCTGAGTATGTAAAAATTAAACTTTATTATTAAGGAAAACGCTTAACATCAGATTTAAGAAAAAAAATGTGTTCGCCAACATCTAAGAAAAATTGTTTTGTTTCCGGTCAATAATTTAATGTAATATACAGAAATATTAAGTAAAAATAATTTGTTTTAATTTTGAAGAAATAATTATGTACATATGTCTAAAATAAAATATGGATATATATATAGATGTTGAAAAATCATAAATTTTTTATTGAAAAAATAACTTACATAAATAATAAAAGTATATTATTAAAAAACTAACTGGTATATTTATATTTCCTAACCATTTCCATCATATTTTCTAACCGTTTCTGGCAACACTTTTTATGTTGTAAGAAAAAAAAACAAAGAAGCAACACATTTTTTTTTTGTTGGCTTCAAAAATTATTATTTGCTAGCTATCTATGTATTATTATATCAATGGATAAGCCTTTAAAAAAAAGAGTACAAGAGTAATTAAAAAAGGAAAATAAAAATGAAATACATAAAAGTAGTACATAATTACATCAGTTGATTCTTATAATAAAAATAAATAGAAAACGGGTGGGTTTGCTAAGAAAAATATTTAGAAGGTAATTCATGTCATTCTACTACATAATTTTATGTTAAATGTTGAAAGGCAGTGTTCCCACTCGGTAAAAACAAAATGTATCCGATTTCGAGAAAAAAAATGTATCCAAACTCTTAAAGTAGAATTATTATACTAAATCGTCTTATTTTTTACAAATTAACTCATAATTAATATTAATTTACCTTATTTAACAGGTTGAGTTTTATTATTTATAGTAAATTCCTTAAGGAATCACTTTTAACTTCTTGTGCGTATGTATGTTCTGTAGTAATTGAACTATGCAGTAAAGATGATTCAGTGAAAATGGAAAAATTTTTAAAAAATATGTGCAGCCAATGTATTTTCTATTACACCTAGCATGCACCAAAATATTTCTGGTACGTTCTTGACTAAATGTTCCTTGGTTCTAATTTTTGAATACAGAAAGAGGCGGTACTCATTTAGTGAAGTATTTACTTTGTTCTAACAAATTTTGAAATCTGCTTAGTAAAGCTCGCAAATAACATATTTTTGAAGATAAAACAATTTCGCGATTTAATATTAGCAGCACTTAAAAAGTGCTACAATATTTATATATGTAGTGTTTGAGAAAGAAATGTATCAATTCAAATGTAGCCAATTTCGGCATTTTAGCAGATTTCAGTATTTTTGTATCAATGCTAAACTTAAAGCAAAAAAGTGTCCAAATGGATACAATTGTATCCAAGTGGTACCCCTGTTGATAGGTATACATAAAAGGTCTTAGCCACATATTTTTAACTATGCTGTAGAGTTTGTAGAATTATGGTTTGCTGAGTTGATATAATAGCTTAGTTCTACATAACAACAGATTAATTTTTGTGTCAGATCAATGTAATCTAGACAATATATTAAATGAACATCCGTTTCCGGTTGTCCTCCCTCAAACCTCCGTTTCCGTAAAATACTGAAATTAAAATATTAATTAATATGTACTTACATATGTATATTTAATATTGCAACATTTTTAATAATAAAATTTATAGACATTAATATTTAAAACATAATTAAACCTGTAAAGTTAATGAGAACAATTTCGTAATGTGTAATGAAAATTGTAAAATTTAAGCTGGTACACACTAATGCAAATAATAATAAAATTTACTATAAATTTTATTTTCAGAACAGGTTTTCCTAATTTTTTTGTGCAATCTGTTACATTTGCACTTACTTAGTCCTAAATCCGGTTAATTTTTTGTTGTAAAATTTAGTCCAGAATAACAAAAAGAGATAGTATTATTATTACATATGCCTTTTTTTATCTTACTCTTTTTAACAAAAAAGTTATGTTCTCTGGTGATCTCATTTTTTGAACAGTCTTTTCAATACGTAATTATAAAAATTTGCATACATATATTTTATATAATTATGTATGTGTTAAACAATAAAAGAAGGTAATCCATACATTTATGAAATATAGAATATAAGGTATATTTGTGTGTATTTGAAACGTACTTATTGTCTCTCTTTTATATGAACAAATTTCGCAAAAAATATTGAATCAACACAGCGCTGTATTGACATAAAAACAGGGTTGCTGCTCTTAAAAAGATTAATGGGTCAAAATTTAAAAAAAAAGGGCCAAATTTAAGCAGAAAGGGCCAAAATTGATAATATGGTTAATTTGGTCTGCTGTATGAAGTCTGCAATATTTTCAGGATATGTATAAAATTTAAAGTAAAATCTCTAACAAATCATACATGTATAAACAAAAATCACAACATAATAAAAAACATTCTAATGAGAAAATGGTAATATTAAATCCTTAGTATTAAAAGCATTGTACATTATACTTTAATTAAAATTTTAAGGTTTTGTTACATTTTTATTCTGAAATTTTACATAAAGAAAGAAAAGCAGAAAAATTAAGAATCTTTAGAAAGATTTAGAAAATGAGCTAAATAGGATTTATTAAGAAAAATTTGCCCGTAGGGCCAAAATATATTTAAAGAAGGAAAATTGGACATTACATAAACACCTGTTGTTATAGAGGGAAGGTTTAGATTTAGATATCACACTTTGCTTATAGATTATATTACATTATTATATTATTATGATTACATTCTACATTTTCTATCGAAAAAATTCATGTAATATCTTTTATCAAATTATGATTCAATCAAAACTGCCATAAAGAATATTGCTTTTTAGTTATTTTATTTATTAAAATGTTAAATGTAAACGTCAATTAAGTTTTTTACTATATGAATCATGGATCAACTCTATATATTGTAAATGTAAATGCCAAATGTAATTATGTCGAATGGCTATACACCCCTGCCATGGAAAGAAACCTTTTACAGACAATTATAATTTTCTTTTAAAATCCTTTATAAAAAATTTGTATTCATAGCGGTATATCATTTTCTCTTTCTTTCTATAAATTTTAATTCTTCTATATAGATATATATATATATACATATATTGTTTATAAATACGAATCCTAGTTCTTTAAAAATACACGTCACAATTTCCTCTTTACATATGAATTTTGTTTGCATATAGTAATGTTGCCGTTTCTAAATTAATTTCTTTAACCTGTTGGTTAACAACACGACACAAGTATAATACATATTATGAAATAAATTCAAAATAATTAATTCTTAATGCGTGTTCCGAAATCATGCAACCTTCATGGAAAAGTTAACATGTACTTGAATTTATTAAATTTCATGCATACAATAAATCTTTTATACTTATTTAGAACGCAGTTAGTTAAGACTCAGACAGATATGCAATTTTTAATTTTGCAATCAAGGCTTGTCTGAAAAACATTGTGGGCAAATCTACGGAACTAAACTATCGCGTGAATTCAAATCGAGTGCGTTAACTAAAAATTGCATTCAATTTGTAAAAAATTTCAAACTGTTTGATTTCTTAATTGCATGCAATCATACAGTTGCATTTGTGCACGCTTGAATATAAACTAAAACATGAAATATAAACAAGCAATGAAGCAAGCGATTCGATTTACATTTTTTTTATTACGACTTTCGATGGTACTATTTACCAAAAAAACAATATTAGAACTTTATTTTTTGTTTTGCAATTTTTATTTTTGATTTTATTAACTAAATGAACACATTTTTCCACAAATAAAAACTCAATATTATACCAGATAAAAGTGCAATTTATTTTACAAAAATACAATATTTTTTACGTTTGCTTTATACATTGAAAATCGGGAAAAGTATTTGCAGTAATTTGAAATTTTAAAATTAAATATGAGCTGTGTTTAATCTGAAATTTTGTTCGAGTATATTCTCAACATATTTTATTCATTAAAAAGAAACATGAATTTTCAGCTTTAAATACTCTGCGGTAAAAAATTGAAAACGGTTCTATTTTTTGACAAGTTTGAATCTGATGTAATGTTAAAAAACAAAAACATCGTATAAGATGTAGCAAGAACACTACAATAATTAAATTCTTCAATAGAACTTATTTGAAAGAAAATTTTTTTTTGCTTTTGTCTATAACATAATGTTTTTTTTCAGAATTATAAAGTCAATATATATATAGACATAAAATCAATATATAATAATGATTTAAATGTCGCGTTTTGTATAAATTATAATGATATTAAGATATGTAATTCCTTGTATATATACATATAGTACTTCTTTATATATACATATTGATATATATGACAATATAAAATAATATTATGTGCGAGTAGTACAGTATTTGACATGTCAGCATAATTTCGCCAATTTGACATTTTACATGTATTCTACACCGTATTATATACTACTACACTATACAACTACTTATAGTTGCTAACGTAAGTAATATAACTATACCATTTCCCCATTCAATAAAATATCTTGCGGCCATATTGCAATACGACGACGGCAGAAAAGTGAATTTTTTCTTTCGACTTTTTTTGTTTAATATTTTTGAAAAAATTGTTAAAAAATATTCAAAAATAAAAATATCTTTTTGAAACCAACACGATTTTTGTATTTAAGGAAAATTTAAACAAAGATTTTTTAATAAAAAAAAAATTCAGTTTTTATTGTGTGTGTTTAAAAAAATCATAGAAAAAATTCTTTTAGTAAAAAAAAAATAATTGCAAAAAAAAAAAAAACCAAAACAGAAATTTTTTGGTATAAAAAAGTTATAAAAGGAAAAGACAAAAAAAATTTTCCTAGTAAAAAAAAAGTAAAAGGAAAAAAAAAATCATTTTTTTTTCTAAGGTACGTTTATTTTTTATACATTTTTTTTAAATTTCTCTATATAAATGGTGTTACTTACACACATACATGTATACAAGGCTATAATTATGACAAGAAAAACCCTCATTTTGCGTTCGTAACATATGCAGACTTATTTTTTTTAATTTTTAATTTTAGCCAAAAATTATCCTACATATAATTAGAAAATTTTTATGTCTTATTATGTAGAAGAGCATAACAATAAGAAGAAGAAGAGTGGAAAAATTATATTTTTTTTTTAGTATAATTTTTCAGAATGATTCCGTTTTTTTTTTGAATAAAATTTTTTAATAAAATTGATTACCACGACCACCCCTTTATAAAGCTACAACACATTTTTTGCCTAGAAAATATAATATATATATAGTACAATTGTGTATCGTATATTTTATAGATGGTGGTCGCAGTGTGTATTTTTTATAATTGAAAATGTCAATAAGTGGATTTTTATAAAAATTTCCTTAAAACCAACCACACCACATCATAAAAAAATAAGGGTGACCATCGTGTTGCTACTATTTTTTTTATGATTTTCGTTTCGTCGTCCACCGAACCTAAAGCAAGAATTATAAAAAAATTTGTATTACCTACTATATATATATATATATATATATATATATATATATATATATATATATATATAATACAAAAATTTATATATATATATACGTACCTTCATTATATACGTAGATGTATTAATAAAAAAATTAAAATAATTTGAAAAAATTAATAATAAATTATGTTGCTAATAAATAAAATAAAAAAAAAAGCTATAATTCTTGATTCACAAGAAAATTTTTTTTTATTATGTAGAAGACAAATTTAAGGTATATTAGAAAAGAGAAAGAAAACGAGAGAGAGATAGAATGAAAAACACACTGGTTTTAATAAAAAAAAATCTTACGTTCTATACGAAAACTCTTACTTCGTCACGTCACACACATAATTAAAAATTTAGAACGAATAACAATAGAAATAGTTTTTTAATAAAAAAGCTTCTACTAAAAAAAAAAAAAACAAAATTTTAATTTAATTAAAAAAAAAATAGTTAATTCTTTTTTAAATATGAAAGGTTATAAAAATTTTGTATATTTTTTTTTATCTCAAAACTTCAACCTAAAAGATTAAAAATTTTTATATTGGAAATTTAATATTTTTTTTTTTTTTAATTTTTTTTTTTTTTTTTACTTTATTTTAAAAATTATTCAAGAATATTTTGTTGTAATATTTTTTTAATAGAACACCTAGGTCGGTACAACCGGTTCTCTAGCTGTAAAAATGTTAAAAAGAAGTGAAACAAATTAAATTGTGCTCAAAAGCAAACAAAAATTTTTTAAAAAATTTTGTTAAATTATTATTAGAATTTTTTTGAGATTCACTTTTTTTTTAATTACACAGTTAACAAATTTTAGTATCTAACATATGAGTTTTAAATTTTTTCATCTGTTTTAAGAATTTTAAATAATATAACAATCCTATTATTAAACAATATTATCCTATTATTACCAAACAAAATTGTACGTTAATCCTCACACATGTATGGGCTGTAACAACTAAGGTAAGTGAGCCTAATACTGACAGTTGTAACCACACATATGAGGTTTTTATTAATTATTAAAAGGTTTTTCTCTATACAACATGTTTATATTTTTTTATTTCTAAATTATGTAATGCAAATTATCGGAATACTATCTTTTATTTACTTTTGAAATAACTTAAAGAAATCGAGTACAAATTTTTGTTTCTGTAGAGATAGCAAAAGCGCTTGGCAGTGGCGAATTTCTTATATTTTTTGCTTAATTTTTCCGATTTTGGTTTTTTAATTTATATGAGTGTTAAACAAAGTTTAGGTAAAATTAAATATTTTGGTTTTTTTCGCTTATTTTCAAGCAATTCTTTGTAAAAACATTAAATAAATAAGAATTTTTAATAATTATTTTTGTCAGTATTAGGCTTACTTAAAATTCGATCCTGCTTTTATTATTATTGACATAATACGTCCAACATTTGTCCTTTTTTCATCGCATTTAAAAGATTTTTTTCTTTTTTGTATTAATTTAATAAAAATCTAACTTAAATTTTCTTTCTTATGTTCGAATTTTGACACTAAGAATTAGAGTCTCGGAGAGTTTCGGAGTATTTTAGCTTTAAAAATTATCTGATCTCTTATTTTAAGAGTGTATTCATTTAGTAATATTCAGTATGGTTTCTTTTTCAATAGAATCCTTTCAAATTATTCTTACCATTAACGCTGCAAAGATATCACAATTACAGTATTACTCTTTGAATAAAGGGGAATGTATTCATTTTTCATGCTTTCTTGAAACAGAAAACGTTGTCAAAAAAATTGGACGGTGCTCTCATTACATAGCAAATGTAAATTGTTCTACAAAAAGTAGTTAAGTTTCCTACATTGTACAAAATAATTCTTATAATGCTTTATATAAAATTATGTGATTTGGAGTTAGATTTTGATAAATATTTTTTAAGAACTTCTATTTATTCATTGTTACATTTTAAACCTAATAGTAAAAGTAACTTAACAGTAATAATAAATTCAAGTAGACTATTTTTACACCTTTTTCTTCAACATAAAATATGTTATTTATTTTTATTTGAATTATTATATGATCTATTTTCAAATTTTTTAAACAATGTCAAATATCCGTAGAAATCCGTAAAAATATGTTATTTTTATTGAATATCTTCATTTTAACAATTTTAAACCATTATTTATATACATTATAGTATGTATATAAAATTACATTGTCAGTATTATGAACAAAACTGTTAGAAGTAGACACAAACACTCGCACATAGGTCAATATTAAATACGTTTTTTCTTTTCATATTTAATCGAAAAATCATGAATTAAAATATATTTTAATTAAATATTTTGTTAAAATATTTTGTTATTGCTAAATATCTAAATTATTTATAAAATCGCGAACACGATTCACTTACCATATACGAAAATTATAAAATGTTAATCTACATAAAAAAAAACAGTGTCTTCATACATTCTAGGTAAGGTAGCCAGGTATAACTTAATTTGAAATTAATTGCAATGGTGAATAAAAAGTAATATTAAATATTTTTGATTACAATAGAATTTTCTATTGAAGAAAATACATATGTGTAATATAATAGGTACTTATACAGTTACGTAATAATTTGATAATCAAATACGCACGAAACGTAACCCTAACTATTAACAACAAGCAAGAATAAATTTTATCAGTAAAATTTCTTTAATTGAAATTTCTTTTCGTTGTCTCTTAGAGACTTACTAGTCTCTTAAACTAAGAAATGCAGTATATATTAGTTCAAAAACACTCATAGCTTGCCGTGATTACTGGGAATAAGAACACCAATACTACCCCCTACAAAGAAATTTTTCCCATTAGTAAAAAAGGAAATCCGTAAGCCTCATTATTTTACACATTCTGTACTGTTATTAATAATAATAATAATTTCTGTGTTGGTTTTAATTGTGCTCGGCACAATTTAAAAAAAAATCTAGAACAACATATTAATCTTTTCTTTGTTATCCAATATATAGAGAAATAGTCAACAGAATGAAATTTTGTTACTATTCTATAAACAATAAAGTAGATAGATTTAAGCTACGATAAAGTCTGAAGGCTGTTTATATGTTAGATTGAAATTATTTCAGACTTTATGTCTAAATTAAATAATTTTACTATGAAAATTATAACCGAAATAAAAGAAAGGTGTTCCAAACATTAACAAGAAATTAGTTCTTGTCGTTTCACTTTTAAAAATCTGACAATATATCTGATGAGAATAGAGTAATTTCTATTATTTGCCGTTTGATTAAATCGGATGTCAAACAGGGTTTACGTATACAACTTACATTAGGTTTAGTAGTTCAATATTGTCTTATATAAATTAAAAAAATTCCAGCGCCTAAGTTTATAGGAATATTAATAAAAACAATCTGGAAAGTTTTAAAATATACTATTATAATATTCCTTAAAATTTATTTTAATGCACTACCTACAAATTATTTTCGATTATGTAGATAAAGTAATTTTTAAAAATGTTTTTAAATTAAAATGCGCATTTCATATACAGTAAATGTATGTATTATGTATATGTATATAAATGCAGTTAACTATAAAATATCAACAGTAGAAAGAAAAACTGTAAATGAAATTATCTAACAGAAATAAGTGTATATGAATGTTATAATATTTTCCGAAGTATAAAACTGCTACTCTAAAATGATAGAAATTCAATACATCTTTCATGTATGTTGGTAAGCTATTATATAAATTAGATCCAATTACACTTTGCGAAGAAGTAAAAATCGAAGCTCTTGCCAGTCTAACATTATCTCTGTATCTAGTGTTAAAATTATGGTTATGCCTGTTAATTGAAACAATATTACTAAGACCCTATTCAATATCTTAAAAATATGAATTATTTGTTAAAAATTTTTATCTATTTTAAAAGTTATTCATTTTTGCTCTTATTATTTAAAACTGATTGTGAATTTTTATTAATTATTAACAAGTTACCTACCATAAAAATATCAAAAAAATTAAAAATAGAAAAAGTTATATACATATGTATATATATATATACTATGTATATATATATATATGTATATATATATATATAAAGTTATATACATACATATATATATATATATATAATTGTATATATATTATTTTTAATTATTTGTTTATACTGTTTTATACATTATTTTGTTACTTTGTATATAAATTTTTTTTATATATTTTCAAGGCTTTTTATGAATTTCGTTTATTATACCAATTATTAAACAAAATAAAGTACTTGTTGGTTTTTCTTTAAATATATACGTATGTAAATATACTTGAACGTATATACATGCACATATTTGCGTACATCTTAAATACCTAATTAATATTGTTATTAAATTTATTTATGTTGATTGAAGTACAGTAATTAATAGAAAATCATATTGTACGAGTATTTACTCTATAAATATCTACATACATACATATGTATATGTGTACACACATCCATAATTTAATGATTTCTCGTGTAACAGGTTGATTAGACCAGGCATTCATATAGGTATCCCTCGTACAACACGGTGGTAGAACATTCAAAAACGACTTTGCTTGCTTATTTAAATTTAGGGGTAGTGTTGCAAAAACACCTCTCTTATTACTATAAAACTGTGTACCAAAATATTTTATTTGATTTACTACTTACTATTATTATTTAATATTTTACGATTGAAAAAACTAATTATTTTTTACTATTTGCCTTTTTTTTACAACAATTTTAATAATTTTACTTTTTTGTTTCTTCTTTTAATATAAACAGCAAATTTACGCTCTCAAAAAAAAAATTATATATATTTCATATTTAAAAAAGTTAAATAAAAAAATAATAATACAGAAATGACCGATTCAATGAAATTTGGACCTGAATGGCTTCGTAATATGTCTAATGACAATCTGAATAATTCATCATCAGCAATCAGTAACAACTCCAGTTACAGTCACAATAACAGTGGAAGCGTTGGAGGCGGTAATAGCAATACTGGCAACAGCGGTTGTAGTAACAGTAACATAATAACCTCATCAACTTCATCCACATCATTAGCACCACGTCAGTTAGCCGAATTTCGTTATGGTAGAGAAGAAATGTTATTACTATACGATAAAAATATGAAAGCGCCAGAGATTCTGCCTTCGTACAAAAAATTATATGTTGAAAAATTACAATGTCCTTTAGCATTAACACCAAGTACAGAAGATGAAGTACCAATTCCAGTTTCAATAGTAATTACTCATTTTATTTTATAAATATTTCGTTAAATTATGCATATATATGTGTTTTGTTTAGAATAGCATGTCTAATTTCCCTTTCCTCTTTTAACCTACATATTCCACTCTCCTTTCCTTTCCTATAAATGATGACGCTGTAACTGATAGTTGCTTAGTTACGACTAAATGATCCTTTTGTTTGCGCCTATTGACGATATGCTTGATGCTTTTATCTAAGCAATGGATGTCTTATATAAAATTTCGGTTTTAAAATTGTTACTATTTTGTTGTAACCACTACAAGTGAAACTATTATTATTGTTATTATTGTTATTATTAGTTGTGTATAAAAAGAATTTCTTTACAAGGTCTTATTTCCATATTTACTATATTGAAATATTGCAAAAAATGTGCTTACAAGTTTCACTATGTTGGACAATGTTCATTTTTAAGATTTTTTAAAAATTTATAGATATGAATTGTTAAAGGAAAATATACTATTTGAACGACTACATTTTACAATAAATTATTATCACCTATTTAAATTAATGAACTATGTATAACGTACAGATATGTATTTTGCATTCTTTATGCAACTTTTATGTCTTTTTTTGTTTTTCACATATTTAGCAACAAAGGCCATGGTCGCTAAGAAGTCCAGTAGGTTTTAGCGGATCATCTTCAATACGCGGTACAGGTCGAGGAGTTTCAATAGGACGTGGGGAACGTGGAAAATCGCGAGGATCATTTTTACATACGAATATTGGTAGTTATCAACGTCCAACTGCTGTGTATGATTTAAATACTGGGGTTGCCGAAAGAAGTTGGCCAGAACGTAATGGTGCTGCTAATAATGATATTAATAGTGCTGAATGGAACGGTTCCCCATCATCAAGTCCACGAAAAGAATTTGTGCCGGGTGGAGGAATGAGTGGTGGTAATTCTCATCCACCAATAGGTATCGGTCTCAGTGGTCGTTCTTCTAGTAATTATATGGATAATTGGCGTAGACAAAGAATGGATGAAGAAAACTCCACTGCACCTGTAGAAGGATGGCGTGGTCATATGATGACAAATTCTTGTATAAATAATTCAAGTGGAAGTAGTATTGGTACTAGCTACAGGTGGGGTCGTTCCACCAGTTGGAGAGAAGATGATAATAGTACTGGTATGGAAATATACAATGCTACAATTTTTTTTTTTTATTTTAATTTTTGACACTATTATTGGTTAATATTATCGATGAAATTTCAAAATAGGAAGTGCGGCATGCATGCAAAGATCATTTAGTAATACCGTTACTACTGCGTTAGATCATCGAAATTGTCTTGGAGGTCATAACAGTGGATCTTTTTCAAATCATCATCACCATTCTTATCTAGGGCAAAGTAATTCGAGTAGTGGGAATAATTCGCTAAATAGTAACAAACATAATTCCATACGTATGTTATATTTTACTATTGCAATGAAAAATATAAAAAAATTAATAAAATTCAAATTAAATATTATGTTTTGGTCTTGTTTTATTAATAATTATTCAAATGATTCTGCAGGTAGCAGTAATTCAACCGGAAATTCTGTGCAGTGGAATAATAATTCTGAGCAAGAAGATTTATTACCAGAATGGGCAACTGAAAATCCCACGGATAGCGGCGGTAGTTTTGATGCTACGGGAGCATTTCATGGATCAAATGATGAGGATGAGGAAAATCGAAGTACCGGTGATAGTAACGCCAGTAATGGAGCTGAAAATTGTAATACTATTAGCCTTAATAGACGAGAAAAAAAGACTACTACTGATATTCATAGTAGTGAAGGGAGTGAGTCAAATAATAAGAATGACTCAAATATCAACAATAATGGTAATCAAAAACTATCTAATTGTACATCTGATAGTTCTTCAAACTCATCGAAAACCTCAAATGATAACAAAACAAGAAAAAAAGAATCTGGCTTAAGTAGTGGTTTGAGTGGTGAATCAACTGGCAACTCATTTTCCGTTAGTTCTACAACAGATAATAAAAACGAGATCAATAAATTGAAATTAAAAGAATCTGACTTAAATAACAAAAAATCAGTTGAAAATATTGAAAAAAATGATTCCACAAGAAATGTGATTTCAGACAATAATAGTAAGGAAAACAAAATTACGGATAATGAAAACAATGATACAATTATTTCTAATATTGAAATTTTAAATAGTTCTAAAATAAAAAATACTAATGTTGAAACTGATAACAGTGCCTCAGAATTAGGGAAGTCAGGTATATTGTCTAATGTAAATGAGTTTTCAAATAAAAATTCAACCCGGGGTGATAATAATTTTTCATCAGAAATATCCGATCGAATGCAAGAAGTAGATGATATGGTAGCTAAATTAATAACTGATGATGATACAACTTCATCTAAAAAACAGCAACTAAATAAGAAAACAAATTCACCAACTAACTCTAACTCAATCCAACCTCATCAACCCCAGCAACAACAATCGCAACATCAGCAAAAACCGCAAATGTCGCACCAATCATCTAGTTTATCAAATAATACATTAGGAAATCAAGTTTTACCGCAACAAATAATTCCCTCTCCATCAGGACAACCACCACCTCATTCATTGACTAGTCAAACGACATCATCAGTGGCTTCTAGTAATGATTGGTATTATCGTGACCCTCAAGGTAAAGTTCAGGGTCCATTTACTGCTACCGAAATGGCTGAATGGTATAGAGCTGGTTATTTTGATGAAAATTTGTTCGTGAGAAGAGCATGTGATATACGTTATGCAGCGCTTGGTGAGCTTGTTAAATTATGTGGCAATGGTATGCCATTTTTATCATCACATTTAATACCACCATTAACTGATATTGCACCAACGCCGCCACATCCTCAACAACAAGTTCATGCCCAGAAGCACCAATCTTTAAGTAACGCACCCCCACTTTCGCAGCATGGTAGCATTTCATCAACTTTACAACAACAACCTGGTGGACTTAATAGCGGTTCCGTAGGGAATAAAAATGCATCTATTAGTTCGGCAGTTTTAGGGGCGGGACCAAATCCACAAAACACTTTAAATGTAGGGAATAGTCATAATAATACACCTGAGCAAATACTTCTTATGCAACAGTTGTATTACTTGCAAAAACAATTTTATTTAAAGCATCGTGCAGCGATTTTATCTCAATTGACGCAATCTGAACCTTGGAATATGCTTTCGCGTGACCAGCAACAAATTTTATTAAATCAACAAATGTCACAAATTGCGTACCCTGAATATTTAAATAGTTTGCAGGCTCTTAGTCAATCTTTAAATGTAATGTCGCCTATATCATATAATTTACATCAAATTCTTGCAGCGGGGAAACAAGAAATAAATCAGACAAAAGTTAACCCCAGTTGGTTTAACACTTCAAGTAATGGGAGTTTACCTACAATTTCCACTGCTAATGATAGCAGTAAAACGAATGAATTCGCTACTTCAGGTTTTAATTTTCATAATTTAATGCATCAACAGCTGCAACAAAATGTGTCTAATTCAGGAACGACTGGATCTTCAACGTCTCTTTCGAACCAAATAGGCAATCATCAAACTTCTAACAACGGTGGCACAGGTGGAGCAAATAATGACCAAAATGATCCCATAAAATCATTATTAATCCAATTACAAATGCAAAAAGCTGTTGCAGCAGCTTCCTCTAATGTTTCAGTTATGAACAATATGAATCAATGGCCTACCGCTGCAGCTGCTGCAGCAGTTAATTTAGTTCAGCAGCATCATTTGCCACAACAACATCATCAACAACAAACTCCGCAAACATGGGCGACGGCAATTTCCAGTAGTCAAAATTCAATAAATAATAACATGGCGACGCCAACGCAGTTATCAAGTCAAAGTAAACCTCAAATTAGTATGTGGGATTTTGGTGCATTATCTTCCATGCAACAGCAACCTCAGTTGGGTATGTTAAATTTTAATTTTACCTCGCTAATTTCGAGTATAAACATGAATTTTATATTACAGGGAAACCTGAAATGAAAACTGAAAAGCAAATCATTGAAGAGCAAATGCAGCAACAACATCAACATATGCAACAGCAACTTCAGCAACAAAATCAACATCATAAACTACAACAGCACCATCATCAACAGCAACAAGCTCATAACCTGCAACAAAAGACTATGCAAGATGAAATAGATAAGCTGTTTCAACGTCATCTTACGGCATCAACGGTTCAACCGTTTAAACAAGAACAAAATAATCTTCAAAATGAGCAATCAAAACATCCGATAAAACAGCAGCAGCAACCTCAAGAAGTTCAAACCCAATCTCAACAAAGTTCACAGCAACCGCAAAAGACATCGCAACAACAACCTCAACAGTCATCGCAACATCATCAACAACAGCAACAGCAGCAACAAGAAAATCAACAGCCGAAACAACAAAAGCCACAACAGCAAAAAACCCAAAAACAACAATCAAAAGTACAAAATTCAGAAGAACAACTTGCAAATCAAATAAATAGTAGCCAACAACAATCCAGTCAACAAAATTTAACAGGAAATGCTATTTATAACAACAATCATAGTAATGTTACAAGTAATCGAAAGGATGTAAGCAGTGATAAGAGTCATAAAAAAGAAAATGATGAAAAAATTATTGCAACTACGCAAAAGCAGCAACAACCCGCGCAGCAACTGCAGGTAAAAGATAATGAAGAACCATTTAGAAAAGCTAATACTAAAAATAGTAGTAAAAAGGATAACAAAAAGCAAGTGCAAGCCCAGAGTAGTGAAGATGATCGAAAACGTGAAGTAAATGATGATAAACGGAAACAAAAAGATGATAAAAAACAACGCCACCAATTAGAAGACGAAAGAAAGCGACAACAACAAATTGAAGAGGAAAAAAGGAGAGAAATTTTAGATGAAGAAAAACGTCAAAAAGATATTGATTTAACCCGTAGACGGGCAATTTTCGAAGGCTACCAACAAACAACGGAATCAAAACAACAAAAAAGTCAACGTGTAGCTGGATCTTCGATCGCTCCGTGGTCAAACACTGGGCTACCAGGTAAATGTCTAATTAATAAAAAAGTTTACTTGATAGATATAACATTTAAATTGTGCATATAAAATTTCCATAGAAAAACCAAATATTTTCTATCAAGTAATTTTAAGTAACAAACAGCATTAATTGTTAAATTTTGATTAAAGGTTTGACAACACCAGGACCTAATTTAGCCGAAATTCAAAAAGCTGAAAGAGAAAGACGTGCTGAAGAGCAACGGCTAGAACAAATTTTAGAATCCCAACGTAAATTACAACAAAATGAATTAATGGCATCCAAAGAAAATGCTCAAGTTAAGTGGAATGCGACACCAGTTGCTGTTAAATCTTTGACTGAAATACAAGCTGAAGAAGCAAAAAGATTTGCAGCTGAACAAAATTCGTCAGAACAACAACGAAGAAAAGATTTAGAAACATCATCATCCCAAAATAACTCCATAAATCCATTTAGCGGTATATGGAATATAAGAACAACACCAAATAGTGCATGGAACGGTAATAGTGCAGCTAGTATTGTTGCTGCCGGTACAAATAATATTAACAACAATAGTAGTAATAATAACAATAGTAATAACAACAATAATAGTAATATAAATAATAGTAACACAATTACGAAAACATGGGGCTCAACAAACAATAGTAGTGCATCAATTGTTGGATCTGGTTTTTGGGAAGAATCCCCAAAAGCAGCAACAAACAGCAATCAAATTACCGCTGCTTCTATATTAGTAGCTGGATTACAAACTAACAATATGAATAATAAAAATAATAGCCAACAACTACGTACTGGTTTAAGTAAAAGTCAAACTATATCAAGTATGCAAAGTGTACGTAAGGATAATAATCAACAACAATCACTAATATCAACATCATCATCAGCAGCTATTCTAAAAAGTCAACCAAATATTAATAATAATAATAATAATAATAATAAAACACCTATAATCAAATCTGGCAATAATTCTGATTTAAACAATAGTAAAAACAAAAAAATGAAGGATTCTGCTAGTAATAATAATTTAAACATTAATAATAATATAAATAATAATATTAATATCAATAATAATAATAATAATAATAATAACAATAATAATAACAATAATATTAATAATAATAATAATAATAATAATAATAATAATAATAATAATAGTAATAATAATAATAATAACAGAAACAATGGTAATAAAAAAGATGATGCACGTGATGAATTTACTAGTTGGTGTGTAAAGTCTTTAATGGCATTTAGTTCAGGCCTTGATGGTATGTATCAATTTATTTGGATAAATCATTTTATACAAATTAAATTACTTAATAAATGCTAATTTTTAAAGTATATGTACCTTTTTAATAAATAATATGAAAGATTAAACATTTAAGGGCGTAGTAAACTATGAATTTAAAAAAAAAAATACATATGATACTTATTATTGAAAAATAGTCCCGAATTTATACGTTTTAAAATTAAATAATATTTTCAAAATATGTTACAAAAGATAAGAGTTAGCCTTTACAATGTAATACATGCCAGGAAATTTTCACTTTCATTCATATGAATATAATGAAATTCATCAAAAAATTGTGATTACAATATAATAACTAATAAATAATTACATTTAATACGTTTGTATACACCAAAAAGATTTTTTAAAATATGGAATTTAATTTTTTTATTTTCATATATATTAACATGTTCTATTATTAACAATTTTAATTTCATATGTTACTAAGCTCTTAGTATATATAAAATGTAGTTTACGTTAATGTTAATTTTTTATTTTATTTTATTTTTTTTTTCGAAATATTAAGTGCCAACATTCATTTCATTTTTGCAAGATATCGAGTCTCCATTTGAAGTAAAAGATTATATTCGATTATATTTGGGTAAAAAAAAAAAAATGATTTATTTTGTTATCATTTGATTTTTTGTTTTTTGGATTTTAAACTTTGTTTTGAAATTATATTCTTTTTTCAAAATATATTTGATTAAATTTTTTGTAAAGGAAAACAATGGAGTTTAATAATATTTTACGTTATTTACAATATTTATCAAAATGGAATTACTTTTAATTAGTACAAAGTAGTTTCTAAAAAGACAGTGTGTGATAGAGTTACCCATAAATATGTTGTTTTCAGATCAAAACTAATTTTAGAATTTGAAATTCTTCTCAAATAATTAGATTAGATTAGATTAGATTTACAAGGGAACTGAGTGGGGCAGGAGCAACCCCCGGAGCCACCGCAGCCATTTCTGATTTATTGTAGATCCCCATGCTCCTACCTATAATATCCCCGTCCCAACTATAAAGCCGGAGATATCCCCAAGGAGTTGGACTGAAGTTCCCGAACACTTAGAATCCATGTCCAAGACAATACCGGCGGTATTGTCACCGCACCCACAAAATCTGCACGGTGGGGAGCCTGACTTCCCCAACCTATGCAGGTGGTACTTCACTAGGCAGTGCCCCGTGAAGAAATTTGCAATAGCGCAAACCCGGCTCCTGTTTATTCCCAGCAACTCTGCGGTGAACCTGTTGGAGCACGCCGAAAGAAACACCTTCGCATGACGGCACGCTTTCGTGCCCCGCCAGTGAAGGCCGCATTCCGCCGCGAGCAGCCAGGCAAGCCTGGCCTTCACGGCGGAAGAAGACAGACCACAAAAGGGCGGCGGCTTCACAAAGCCAGCCCCAGATCTCCTCCTTGCTAGCCCTTCGGCAACCTCGTTGCCCGCATGACCACTGTGGGGCGGCACCCAAATGAGCGTGACTCTGTTTCCGATGCCGATTCCACAAGTGCGGCAAGGCAGCCCCAGACCAGCTTGGATAGGTGGTATGGTTTTTATACCCCCTTTCTAAATTGACTTTCAAACAGATCTCTATTGCATGTATTTCGGCTTGGAACACCGTGCAATACGGATCAAGGGTAACATATATGCGCGTACCCGGGAACACACCGTATACACCCGAACCCAAACCCGACTCTGTTTTGGCCCCATCTGCATACCACACGCTAGAACCCGACTCAAGTACTGGGCGACCCCAATCCTACGTCCATCGTTCGGGAAACCGAACCCTGTACCTGCGGTCGAAGTTATACCGCGGCAGACAGACATCCGACATGGTTATTCTTTGAACCGGATGGCTCTCAATGAAGTCTCTGTAAGTCCTCTGGGCCAACTTTCGCCCCGCTTTGTCCTCGCCAGAGAGAAGTCAGTAAATCACTAACCGAGCTTCCCTCAATATATAGAGGTGCAGAGGTCAATATGATGGTAACCCAATCATCACCTCCAAAATCGGAGCCGTCCGTATTGCCCCGGTCACTCCCAGGCAGGCCAACCTCTGCAGCTTTTCCAGCTTGGTCCGCACACCCACCTGCTGAGCCTTATGGCACCGAACAATCGACGCATAGGTGACGATGGGCCTAGCAAGGACCGTATATAGCCACAGTGCTATCCTGGGACTGATCCCCCCAGGTCCCACCGATGAAGCTCTTACACGTCCACAAGGCTGCCGTAGCCCTCCTGATAACTCTATCTACATGAGTATTCCAGGAGAGGCGATCATCCGGGGTTACGCCCAGATACCTCACCTCTCTAGACTCTAGAATAACTAATACGTTCACCAAACAGAATTGGGCTTGTTAACTTATTTTTGTTTCTGCGTCTGGTGAAGGCAACCAAAGTGCTCTTGTTGGAATTTATATTTAACCCAACGCCTTCTCATCACCTTTCTACAACACGTAAATTTTGCTGTAGAAGAACAGAAATAGTGCTCTCAAATTTGCTCCGTATGACGAAGAACACATCGTCGCAGAACCCCAGACATGTGTCCCGGAGACCTCGACAGCAGCTATTAGATCATCCACTACAATAGACCACAGGAAGAGCGAAAGAACCCCGCCCTGCGGACACCCTTTTGTATCGTTAGTTCTGGTGGACTTAATAATCCTATCCGATTAACCCATCTGCTCCTCGTTGCATCAATCTTTTGTTTGTGCAACGACTTACAGATAACATGATATGGAGTGTTGTCAAAAGCTCCCTCTATATCAGGGAAGCAGCCAACTGCCACCTCCCGCATTTCCAGTCAGTTTTCAAGGGCCCCCACTAGACTCTGCAGAGCGTGTACAGTAGACCTTCCCGAGTGTAGGCGTACTGAGACTCATGCAAGGCATTGCTTCCCAGTGCGTCGTCCCGTATTAATCTTTCAATAGAAAAGAAGTAAGGCTATTGGGACGGGAAGACCTTGAGTGGTTGCTTGGACGCTTACCTGCCTTCGGAATATACGTCACTTTAGCCACCCTCCATGTCTGAGGGATATAACCCCACGCATAGCTGGCACGAAAAATTTCCAACAGTGTTCCAGCTATATGTTGGAAACCCCTCTGCAAAAACGCAGGATATATCCCGTCATTACCTGGAGATTTGAAGGGCCTAAAAGAAAAAACAACCCATTTAATCCTGCCCATCGTGAAGACCAAACGGGATCGTTGCCAGTCATCCCTCCTGGGCCAGGATGCCCTCGGTTCAATTACTGCATTCGAGTGGTTCCGAAGAATCTCCGAGCCAGGAACGTGTGTTCAGGCCATAAGCTTCAACGTCTGCTTCCCGTTCTCAGTCGTAGAGCCATCAGGCTCTATTAGGCCCAACCCGCTAGCATACTTTTTGGAAAGCACCCTGTGAAGACGCGCACTGCAGAGGAAATCATCAATGCTCTTGCAGAACGCCCTCCATGAACTTCTCTTTGCTTTCCTAATTTCTTTATTGTATTTCGTGAGTGAGTCTTTATACTCCTCCGACGAACCCGACGCCTTGACCTTATTGCATAGCTTTCTGGTCCTTAGTCTAAGCCCTGAAAGCCTTATTTTCGATATCTATCACCGTTTTGACAGAAGTAGTAATGGATCCAATCCTATCCACGAGGAGGGTTTCAAATTGACTCCAATTTGTGGATTAGGGTATCCGATAAATTTCTTCTGCCAGGCCCACCGGAGACCATGATATCAAATCTGATCCGCCTATAGTCGGACATGCATGTCTCATTTGAGAAATGCCATCCACCAACCCTACTGCCGATAAATTCAATGCAAAGGGTGATGTCAAGGACCTCTTCCCTAATTGCATTTATGAATGTCGGCTTATTGCCCTCATTCATAATCATTAACTTATTGCTATATATAAATTCAAGTAGGCACTCACCTTTTTATTTATATCACTGATGCCCCAGATGGTGTGGTGGGCAATGGCATCACTTCCTACTATCAGTTGGAAGTTCCTCCTTCCACAAAAGTCCACTAGGTCTTTCAGTTGTTCGTCTGGATGGGCACAGTCTCCCGGGAGGTAGGATGACACAATAAACTCTGTCCAACCCCCGCAAGACTTCACCATCATCAACGCAGCTACCTGATCCTTGGAGCAGTAATCTGGAATGGAAAGATATGTTAGTCTTTTACTATACAATATTATACAATAGCTCACTTGTTAGCCCCTTAACCTGATCCTTCATTATGTAAGGCTCTTGAATAAGGGTGATATCGAGGTGATCCTTCATAAATCTATAAGCCAGAACATCCGTGGATGCCCTAGCAAACTGTCAATTTATTTGGATGCACCTCACAGCCATATCACTTTCTCCGGCTCTTGTCTATGGGCTTTGGCCTCTTTTGTCGTCCTAGGTGCCGCATTGACCCCTCCAACAGCAAATATCGAAGCAGTTCCGGGTTTTTCAATGGGCTTGAGACCTTTTGGTTCACCCGGGACGCTTGTACTGGCGTGCTGGTCGATGGTCCTTCCATTTGCCTTGCCGCCATTTTCGGAGCGGCTTCAGACTTTCCAATGAGTTTTGACCCTTTTGGTTGGCCTGAAATGCTCGTTGTTGTCGCGGTGAGCGTTGGTTTTTCAAATTGTCCTGCCCTGTCGCCTGCACCTTGAGAGGACTCCTTCTTTTAACCCGAACGGTTACACGGAAGAAGTTCAGGAAAAGTCGGAACTCCGCTTTCGGTAGATCTTCCAAGTCGGAATCATCCACGGAGAAGGTGATGGAGCAACCTCCGTCCTTTTACTTATCCATCCTCAACACCGTTCAGGAACTAATTTTGAGGCTTGGATTTTGCTTAGCAATTTGTCCCTGGAGAGATTGACGGTTGTTTCCTCTTTTGGCACGTAGGTGACGCAGACATGCTGTTTAGGCATGTCGGCGCCATCCAGTACCTTGTTTCCAGTATGTTTCAGCCCTCCCAAGGCCTTATCCTGGTCTTGCACTCCCTGATGCTTTGATTGTTGCATGTGACACGGATATCCATCCATCTATTTGCAACGCTATAGGTGATGGCCACCCTGACCTGTGCTACTGCATCCCGATAAGAAGTTATTTTCGGGTTTTGTTGAGGAATGTTCCCAGGGACCTTTCCCTCAACGTTGCCCTTCATCGACCTCTTTTTTGAGGGTCCTGCATCCGGGGTGTTGCGTTCTGACGTCTCCCTCTTCTGGGGAGGGTTGACCACAACATCCAATCCGCAGGTCCTCTGCTTTCCGAGCCTTTCCTTCTCATATCTACAAGCTTCCTCTGGGGACACGCCATCCCTGATGTATGCTGCGATACGCCGCTTGGATGCACCAGAGAAATATTTTTTTTTTTGCCGTGATATCCAATCTTTTCAGGTCATCTTCAGTTTGTTGGATAATTGGTCCAAGAGAATCCTGATTATCCGTCTCCATCGGAGGCTCCGCCTTTTCCTCTACTGGTGTGAGGAGTTCCTGATGAACAAAAAGTGTCGTTAACTAAAAAAAATTTATTTATTTTGGGCCAAATAGTGGAAAATTCTATTTCAGGAAAAATAAATATTAAGAAAAGCAAAGAAAAAAACAAGTTATGTTTAAGCACAACAATTAACAAACGAATTCCTAAAAAAACTGCAAAAACTAGTAAGAAAAAAGTACAGCTGATTTAACTGCGCTAGTCATGATAATTTAAATGTTTTTGTGATAGGTTAGCAATGTTTATGAACAAACTTGATTAGCAACATTTGTTTATGAACACAAATATAGCGCAGTTCTCGCTATATATTGCGATATACTGAGTTTATGAAAAGGCCCAATAAGTTCATACAAATTTTTGGTGATTTATATTACAATTTTCCTTTACAAAACATGAATTTATAATTTATATAGCACATATACATGTATATATATATATATATATATATATATATATATATATATATATATATATATATATATATATATATTTATACATATATATATATATATGTATATATATAATATGTATATGTATAAATATATATATATATATATTTATAAAGGGTGTCCGGGACTCAATGGTATTCCCGAAGCAGGGTGATAGTACGCATGCAGGCGAGCAAAAAACACCAAGTAACATTTTTCTTTCTGGGCCCTTGTTCTCTAGTTATGGGGCCTCAAAAATGGAACATGCAATAACCAGCTTATTTTCACATTTTTATTTATAACTCTGGAAATGTGACAGGTAAATCTAACTTTGTAGACTCATTTTAAAGCTAATGAAATCTTCATTCTTGCGGTATACCAGTGGTTGCAAAGACTTTTTTAGGTTCAGAGATATTCAAGTGTAAAGTCAAAATTTGTTAAAAATTTTTTTCTAAATTTTCGTTTAACCGTCATTTACTCATGATTCCACCTAACTTAATTTCGTCATTTACTCATAATTTCACCTATTTATTAACCTATCGTTTTTTTCACAGGAAGAGGAGCCCTATATTCTGGCCTTCACTTTCGTATAACATAATGTGGGAAAAATTTTAAAAATAACATGTCTATCAAGCGAAAACTGAGGTCAAAACCTTAGAATATTAACTAAAACAGAGAATTTTTCAAACAAAAACATCTTAAGAATTTCTTTAATCTTTATTACGAAATATTATACATTGACATTTATAACATTTACTATTTCTTTTCCAAAATGAAAGACATGCATTACCTTTATTTCTCCACAAAATATATCCAAAAGTTTCAGGAATATCGTGTCTACGAGGATCAAATTTATAAAAAAACAACAAAAACGAGTTTTTTTCGCAACAAATGAATTATAATTCAATTAATTTTCACTCTTTAACCCTCTTTGTGTTTCGTTTTTATTCGAAAAATATAATTTGTGATCTTCACCTGCAGGTAATATAGAAAATTTTAATTTTGTTATTACTTACAAGATACGTTTTTTATTAGGAGAGCGAAATTAAAGTAATTAAAGCAAAACTAATCAAAATTAACTAAAATGCTATTTATACAAACTTTTCAATTTCATATCCTTAATAATAGTTTTAATAATATGAATCCAAATTAAAATTATTTATTTTTAGGTAAAGTTCATTTGTGTTTTAAATCTTGATGCAACAGAAATCTTGCAATTTTTTTGATACTTAAGTTGATTTAAACAACAGCGAAAAGTGGTTGGAGCAATAGGGTTCAATGTAGTTGTAATAAAAAGGATTTAATTTTTTTTCTGATTAAATATACTAAAATACTTACTACCTCTATTTTCATATGAATAAGAATATTAAAAGTACGAATTAAAAGTACCATTAAAAGTATTATTATAAGGATATATGGATATAAAAAAGAGAAGTTTACTTATGAAAATTAAAATTTTCCACATTATCTATACCTGAAGATGAATAGTTGAATTTTTAGAATAATATCAAAATACACAGAAGATCAGAAGGTGAATACTACTTGGATTATAACTAATTTATCGCGAAAAATCGTTTTTTTTTTTTTTTTTTATAAATTTGTTCGTTGTAGACACGATATTCCTGAAACTTTTGGATATATTTTGTGGAGAAATAAAGGTAATGCAAATGTCTTTCATTTTGGAAAAGAAAAAGTAAGTGTTAAAATGTAAATGCATAATAATGCGTAATAAAGGTTAAAGAAATTTGTTGTTGTTTGAAAAATTCTCCGTTTTAGTTAGTATTCTAAGGTTTTGACCTCAGTTTTCGCCTGGTAGACATCTTATTTCTAAAATTTTTCCGCCATTATGTTATATCAAAATGAAGGCCAGAATATAGGGCTCCTCTTCCAGTGAAAAAAACGATAGGTTAAAAATGTGGAATTATGAGTAAATGACGGTTAAACGAAAATTTAGAAAAAAAAATTTTAACAAATTTTGACTTTGCACTTCAACGGTATGCAACCACTGGCATACCGTTAGAATGAGGATTTTATTAGCTTTAAGTGTTGAATGAGTCTACAACGTTAGATTTACCTGTCACATTTCCCGAGTCATAAATAAAAATGTGAAAATAAGCTGGTTTTTGCATGTTCCAACTTTGAGAGTCCATAACTCCAGAACAGCGGCAAAGAAAGAAAAATGTCACTTGGTGTTTTTTGCTTCCCTGCTTCGGGAATACCATTGAGTCTCGAACACCCTGTATATACGTATATGTATATACGTATATGTATATACATATATATAAATATATTATACATATATTTATAGATATGTTGTATATATATATATGCATATATATATATGTATATATACATATGTATATATATATATACAACGTATAATGTTATAATGTAATGTAATAATTTTAAAATTTTATTTTTTAAGGTGAAACTAAAGAATGTATCGATTTTGCTAAACAATTTTTGGAACGTCGTAGTAAATATAAAAATCAACAAAGGGCACAAAATGCTCACATAGATGATATGTGTGTTCCAGCACCGGCTGTTAATCCTTCATCAAATGACTTTCAAGAAGTAAAGGTTAATTACTTATATTGAACTTTTAAACAATTTTTGAATTTATAATGAGCTCTTTAAACATTTTTTTTTAATTGTAGGGTAAAGGTAAAAAAATTAAAAAGAATAAAATGACGAAATTGGATGCACGAATCTTAGGATTTTCTGTAACTGCTGCCCAAGATCGTATTAATGTTGGTGATCGTGATTATGGTGACACATCTTAATTTGCTCCGTTATACGATTGATAAATTTGATATATATATATATATGCATATATATATTTATATATATAAATATATATATATATATATATATATATATATATATTTATATATATAAATATATATATATATATATATATATATATATATATATATATATATATATATATATATATATATATATATTTCATATGCCTGTGTATATAGATATATATAAATATACTTTTTTTCATTAACAATAAAAGAAAAATGGCAACAAATATTGGCTTTTACAAATAAAAGGTGGAACAAAAAACCAACTAGAATAAGAAAAAAACAAAACAGAAATTGTAAAAATAATATTAGATTTTGTGGAATAAAAAAATGATTAAGTTAAATAATATTCATACATATATAATGTATGTATATATAATATATATATATATATATATATATATATATATATATATATATATATATATATATATATATATATATATATATATATATATATATATATATATATATATATATATATTATATATATAATCAGGAAAATAATAAATTAATGAAGTGTATTTTATATTATTACCTATACAATTATATAATGTCTATATTAAATAAGTCAAGGAAAAAAATATAATGTGCATATAATTGTTTTATATAAAATATTCTTACACATGTATACATATATTTAAAACTTTCCATGTTTGCCGAAAAATTTTTAATTTTGGAGGAAATGCTTGAGCGTGGTGATGTGTGGGCATGCTTGAAATAGGAACAAAGTGAAGTAGGAGCTACCAAAATGCCAGAAATATGGTGAAATTAAAAGCAATATTGATTTAGAAAAAGTTTCTCTAATTAGTTTTATAAAAAAAAGTAATTTCCAAATTATGAATATTTCTAAACAAATTATAGATAATAAAATTTGCTAACTTTAAAATTCAAATAATCGCTAGTTATTTGAGGGTTCTGTAAAATGTTGTAATTATTATTTGTTAAAAACTGAACCTAAGAAAGAATCGTTTTTAAGTCTTGCGATATTTTTAATACATACATTTATATATATTTTTTTTCATTATTCAGAACATAGTCTTTATTTTGCAACTTTTCTCGCTGTAATATCGATTCCCACACACCATATCCGCGTTTTTATTTTATTTATATATTTATAAAAAGAAGAAATCTTTAAAAATATAATTGTAGCTATTGAAATATTAGAATTAATATTGTATATATAAATATATAATTTCGGTTTTCTTTAGTTGGTTTACATAATTTGTAAATTAAATGAAGATATAAAATTTATTTTTTATTACGCATTGTAAGAAATTGAAATTATTTATTTAAATTTAAATTGAATTTATTTAGTTTATCTCTTGTTGTAATATTGCAGTTAATTTCAAACTATTGAAATAATCTTTTGCAGGTAAATTTTTATTATATATAAATAAAATAATTATTATTCAAAATTGTCATGTGTGTATACATATATATCTATATATATCTACATAATTGTCATAATTGTCAATTGTATATATATCTACATAATTGTATATATATAACTACTCATTTCAAATAAAAATACTATATAAATTGTGTAAAAAACAATTAAAAATAAGAAAGTTAAAGAAAAACAACAAAAAAAAAGAAAACAACTTTTCTTTTTTTTTCAAAAGAAAACTTCTTTTTTTCTTCTTTTTCTTGTTTTAATTTTTGTTAATTAATTTAAAATAGTATTTGTTCTTTTTTCGTGAATTCTTTTTTTTTAATTTTATATATATGAAAGTTTGAAATTTTTAAAAGAGCAAAAAAAAAATACAAAAAATTTTCTGCTTATTAGCTTAAGAGAAAAAAAATTTTTGTGTACATATAAATTTTATAATTTGAACATATATTTGAACATTATATATATAAAATATATAAATATGTATCTATTAAATGCATTGTATATATATATATTTATATTTTTGAAAGATATATATTGAATCAATTAGTTAACAATAATTTTTCCATGTTACTTTCTTTTAGCAAAAAAAAAAACATTTATATAAATTATTTTCTTAATATTTAAGTTATAGTAAAATAAATATATTGTAAAATATCAAAATCAATTACTTTTCTCTGAAGTTTTGAACAAAGCTAAAACTTTTTGTTTTTTTTTCTCAGAAATTTGAAATTTATACTAATTTTTACAAATCAGAGAAATATGGTACCTAACTACTAACAGAATCATGCAAAGTTTATACAGGGGCTTTGCACAGGGTGGTAAATAATTTCGGAAATGATTGTTTGATTAATTTAAGAATTTGCAATTAAAATTACACGGGCTGGGGGTGGAGGGGAGTGAGTGCAAATATATTCGTTTTCGAGCTACAGCCTGTTGAAAAAGAAAGGTACCAGATTTTTCTTGCATATAAATAAATACTTATAACTTCGGAACCATGCCTCTAATTCAATTTTTTTGCTGGAAATTTATCAAAGAATCACACCTGAAATTATTTGCCACTTTATGCGAAACATCCTGTATAACATATTCTATTTTATTAAAAAAAAGAGAGTTTTCTTTTAAATTTCGAATAACAAATATATAACTCTTATACGAAACTCTTATACGATATTTTTAAAATGTAAAAACGAAATATTAGATTCAAAATTGAATTCAATACAAGTTTATGATTACAAAATGTGCAATTTTAACATAATTTTCTTCAAAATTTTGGAGAAAATTTTTGTTGGATCATGGTAAGATCTTGAGCTTACAATAAATTTTAAAAAGTATACATATACCCCTATTATGATCGGCGAAGCGAATGGCTAGGCGAGTCGAATGGACTAGGCGAATCGAATGATATTTTAAATTACGATTACTTATTATTATGGCCATAGTTTTTTTTCGACTTCTTGCTTATATTTAAACCTTTTTCCCCTTTATATTAAAATTTATTGTATTTATTTTGGATTTATTAAATTCTATTTTTGTTGTAATTGTTTTAATTAGATTTCTTTATGGTTATTCACAAATATTTAAAATTTAATTATTATAGCATTTAATTTTAAATAACTAAAAACAATAATTTTTGTTTTGATTAATTCGTGGATTTGTGGCAATATAAATAACGGTCAATTAATTGAATCAGTATAACATTAAAGGAATAATAAATATAAATGTATATTCGCATTATAAATAATATAAACAGGGTGTCCATGCCTCAATGGAATACTCGAAGCGTGAACATAGAATGACTTCAGACGAAAAAAAAACATCTAGTGACATTTTACTTTTTGTACCTTCTTTCTCGAGCTTTGGGGCTTCAAATTTGGAATATCTGAAAACCGTTTAATTTTAACATTTTTATTGATAACTCGGGAATTACAGTATTTCATAATAGAGTTCATAAGTGATTTCTAAGACTTTTTTAGCTTTAGAGATATTTAAGTGCAAGGTCAAAAATTTAAAAAAAAAAAAATTCCAATAAATTTTCCTTCAAGCGTCATTTACTCTAATTACACGTCACTAACTAGTCGCATTTTTTACAGAAAGAGGAGCCATGTATTCTGGCCTTCATTTTGATATAACATCAAGTTGCGAAAATCTCGGAAATAACATGACTATCGGTCAAAAATCTGGTGTCAAAACATTTAAAAAGTTACTAAAACAAAGTATTTTCATAACAAAAACAAAATCTTTATTCAGCATTATGCATTATTGACATGCATTTTTTCTCTTCCAAAACGATAACGTATGCGTTACCTTTATTTTTCTACAAAATATTTCCAAAAGTTTCAGGAACGAGGGAAATTTAAGATCAAATTTATGAAAAAAAAACAACAAAAACAAACTTTTTTGCAACAAAATGTTTATAATCCAAGTTAGGTTGATCCTTCGATCTTCTGAATTCAAAATTAATTTTGATTAAATTACTATAAATTTGTCGTTCTAATAGAAAAAACGCTTTTTTAAATAAGAAAAACATAAAATCTTCCATATTACCATATTATCTATACTTGAAAGTCATTAATTTCATTAAAAAAATACGTAAAATTGCATAATGCTGAATTACAAAGATTAAAAGATTTTGTTTTTGCTTTGAAAATATTTTGTTTTAGTTAATTTTTTAATATTTTGACCTCAGGTTTCCTTCAGATTTTCATTTTATTTCTGAACTTAATGTTATATCAATAGGAAGGTTCCTTTTCCTTTAAAAACACCGATAGGTTAGTAACGTGTAATTATGAGAAAATGACAAAGTAAAATTTGTTGGAAAAATTTTATAAAATTTTTGATAATTGTAATAACGTATTTCCCGAATTATGAGTTAAAGTGTAAAAATTAGACGGTTGTCAGATATTACAACTTTGAGAAGGAAGGTCTAAAAAGTAAAATGCCACAAGGTGTTTTTGTTCGTCCGAAGTCATTCTATCACACTGCATCGGGAACTCCATTGAGTCTCAGGTAACCCTTTATATAAATATATAATAACAATTTGAAGTACAAATTATATATGTACTTCGAATGAATATTATAAATATAGATGTATGTGTATACTTATGTAAATTAACTTATTTTTTTTTTTTTCAATAAAATTTGATACAATTATTATTATCTAATGATTGTTTATAATAAAAAAAATTTTGTGTTAAGATTCAATATTTGAAAAGAGAAAAAAATTACAATAGAAAATATTTCATTTTCTATGATAATATGGTAAGAAACATTAATTTGAAGAATAGAAATATGTTTCTTGGGAAGGAATTCACTTTCTGCTAGGTCACCACTTGTAACATTGACTGAGTACCACTTAGTTGTACCTCGTTTCATTTCTCCATCTACAGCTTTCATCGCATCAGTTTTGAGGTTTCGTAGTGCAAAAGAGAGGAATCTTCATCAGTGCTATATGTAATTGCCTGCAACCCTGATTCAATGTAGGCCTTAAACTCATTACTGAAGAATCTTTCCCTGAATCCAGCCTGAATTATTCTGCAGCTTATCTGCGGTTGCACTGTCATTCCTAACTTTGTCATCAACGCTGTTGACATCATGGAGAAATATTTGTATCTGATGGTATTAAACCTTACCACTGGCTTGGTTGAAGATCTCAGAAATACATCACTCAACTCCATCCTCTTTTTGTAGTTGTTGTATCAGTTATTTGTGATAGAAGTTCCAAATCTTCATAAGCGTTTTCGATGACAGATTGAAATACTACCTGTCTCAACAGATCAGATGATCCACCAGATTTCTTTTGCCACTGTAAAAAAACAAAGCTGATGGTACATATATCATCATACCTTTGACTCCAGAAAAATTAAGGTCATTCAAGTCAAGAGGCACTGTTTTCGAATGAAACAAAAGCACTAATCCCATCAAAGGGAAATGCATTTTTCCTTGAAATCTATCGCCAACAACACGGAGATAATCCCCTAATCTTTTCAACAGGTCAGCAACAGACCTAGGA